ATATATATATATATATATATATATGCATATATGTGTATATATATGTATTATGTATATATATGTATTATATATATGTATGTATTAAAAAAGCTGTCGGTGTTGGTCAATCCTTGAGGGATGCGCCATACATTCGACTTCATTAAGCGTCGTTGGACGTGATTGAATGCATATCTGGCCTTTACAATGACTCGCGGTGGCCTACCGATGTATCGAGCCAGTGCTGTTATCCTCCCAGACAAGTCTGGTACCAATTTTTTGATTCCGGAGAGATGGAAGGCTTGGTGTGCCATGGATGCGGGGATCGATTCCACGTCTGTGTCGCAGTGGCACCTCCAACCACTGCGCCACACGCGCCCATGTACGTATGTATCTATACACAAATATATATCCATATGTATATACATGCATATATACATGTATACCTCCATGTATGCATATATATACATAGATATGTATGTATATATGTTGGTGCATTGGTCGTTTGAAAGGGCCTGTCAAATTCACTGCAGATTCATCGTGAAAGTCCTTTTTGGATTACGTACTTTTAACGCAAAAGGAATGTCATATATGATAATACAATGCAACCTCTCTTGTTATTTAAGTTTAACTCTGCGGACGAACCTTGAAATAGTCCAAATCAAGGTCGTTCAAATTCTTAGTTAGTGTTTTATATTGAAAGAAAGCTAAGCATAGCACACAAAACCCTTCCGAGGCGAGTGCGGCTCCTTTTTGCTCATTGATACCTCCACCTGTACCAGAAATGTCAATAATGCTAGGGAAAGGGCCGTCTCCTGAAATTATATTTATGCATCTTCAATTCATTTCTACAAGGAAAAGGAAAAGACCATCAGAAAACCACTTGACAAAAAATGTCAACCTGGAGGTTTAAAGAGTGTTCCATATATTCCGCCTTCTTCAATTTCAATCCGTGCAACATAAGGGTGAAGCCAACGCTTCATCAAATGTGTAGACTGTAGAATTTCTCCCGTAGAATTCCGTAATCTGCCTCAATTGTATCGGAAATTGAGTAGGTGAATTGAAAACTAATTAACTTCACCAACTCGAGTGTAAAGTTGAATGGATCAGGTGGCGTACACTTGCAATAGCTTCCGAAACGAAAGTCTTCACAAGGCGTGAGACTTTCAAATAATCCCATAGGTCTGACGCCTAAAGTAGACACATCGCCATTGCTTCTGTGACCTGATTAGCTTCGACTTTTAGTTTATACCTGAATATGTGCCCCTAAGTGGTGCCGACTTGCTAATGTTTATTTCGCCACGTTCGTCAGCTTTGTAAAAACCTCTTCCGATGAAAGTACCCATGAAGTGGTTCAACCTTGAGATAGTAATTAGTTCTGTTCGGTGGAAACTTGGAGCTTTCTTTCTAATTAAGAATCTATTAAGAAATTTACGATTTAGTAATATATGCTCGCCACTACTCATCCTTTGTAAACCAGAAGTTTTACATTATCTAAGCATAAAAAGGGTTATAACTGCTTAATGAGAAAATAAGTATCGAAATACTCTTATATCTGAAAAGATTTCGTCTGCCTTACATTAAAGAACTATACCTTAACATGACCTCGTATGTGTCACTCGGAATCAACGATGACGCCATCACAGATATCGGTTCCGCCATGAGGCTATCCGGCTTGTTAACGCGAAGCATTGCTTGTCAGAGGGAAGCAAACTAAGAACCATTGGCAAATATACTCTTATCGTGACTCCAATGAATAGGCTACAATAAGCTAGTGCTGATAATTTTTCGCTTCAAAACGCTAACGATTAAAAAACGATTGTTACTCAGTCGTTTCGCTATCAAAAGTAGAAACCAAAGACAGGAATAGGCTTATGAACATTAGAGAAGACGACTAGATACGGAGATCCGTAGTTTACACAAAATTGGTGAGGCTTTTCGGTTGTATGCGGAAATAGTAAACGGCCGATCGCATCAGACCTTATCAGCGCCATCACAAACACAACCGATTAAAACGATAAAATTAAGCCTTCATGTTTCGAATACCCACTTTCACTTCACATCGGAATGAATAACAAGTATCTTATTGTGCCAATAACCTAACAGGAAGTTAACACAAAACTCTACTATGGCTAACGTTTCGTCACTTCACCTTCATCAGAGCCACAATGATTTGAATTGGTTATCAACAATAGTTATTGTTTCTTGAGATGCGGATCTTCGTAGTAGCATCAAGTCGAATCCACTGCAGTGGAGCAGTGAACGAATAGTGCACTGAAGCTTCGGTGGACTTTGCGAATACTCTTCCCAGCTAGCGCGAAGATGTTGAATGAGCTGATCGTATTCTTCGTCGATGTTATCGACAACGGCATCTTCCCAACAGCCAACTAATGAATTGAATAAGTCCCAGTTTGTGGTGGTTCAGGGACTTCGGTTTTTGAATTTCGCGGCTTTTTCTCCTTTCCGCGAGAAACAGAATCTTGCACGAAGGAGGCGATGGTCTGATCCTGTGTAGAATTTTGAGACAACAGCGACATCGGTTAGGCAAAACCTTCTATTTACTATGATGTGGTCTATTTCGTTATGGAACGCTCCATTGGGATACTCCCACGTTCAGCGCTGAGGGTGGGGCTTCTGGAATTGCGAGTTACCATGGATTGTCTTGGTCGTCATGATAAACTCAGATAGCCGCTCACCATGTTCGTTCCATTCTAATCCGTGTATCCCAATGTGACCTTTTCAGACATTCCTCTTGGTCTAATCTTGGCGTTGAAATCTCCCATGATAACTTTGAAGAATGTGTGGTCATCTGTGTAGAACTTCTCCAAGTCCATATAGAACGCTTCGACTTCTTCTTCGCCATAGTTTGATGTCGGCGGGTAAACGACGAAGATTGTCAAGGCTGCAATTGATCCACGTCTTTTTAATCCTAAACGTCCGATTCGGGTTGTAAGTTGTTCGAATGAATCGATGTTCATGGACAAACTAGTGTTGAAGAGAGCGCCGATGCCGCCGACTCCTTTACTGTCGCATGTTCCGAGGAACAGTTCTTCTTCGGTGTCATAGACGGCGTTGAAAGGCTGGCGTTTCCTCTTCTCGGCCAGGCCGATGACGTCGTACTTTATCCTTCTTGCTTGCATGAGCAAGCCTTCTATCGAGGACTCGGATGCAAGTGTACGTAGGTATAGATCGTCACCGTAGTTCTTTGAAAGCCAGGCAACTTCCATTAGACCTGAGATTTTAGCAGCCTCTCCGTACTCGTCGTACCCAACGCTGCAAAATTGGGAGCTCTTTCGGGGTCAGGGGAATGAGGCCCGTTCTTTTTACTATGTTTAGCATTTTATGATACCCACGTATAGCTTGCTGGACTCTGAACGTGGAGGCTGGGTATAGATAGAAAATTAGCTGAGAGAAATGCAAATCGAAGGACTCGCATAGTATGGTGGTAAACGTGTTAACCCCGGAAAGGATAATAGCACGTTCGTTCCCCCCACCGCAGACAGCTGCGTTCTGGAGTTTTGCAAATATCTCAGCATCATTATGATTGTAAATAGTGTTTTAAAATTACAATGTCGTAACTTTTATTCATTGCCTGCTAACTTTTTATAACCGGGGTATTGCATGAAATAGAACCACAATGATGCAAAGATTTTTGCATCATTGTACCTTAAGGCAGGTTAGAACCCGCAACTACCCTTTCAGGGTAGTTTGCGTGTTATTGACCGCTGCACCAACGACAGCCGCACTTTGCTTTTCTAGCAACCAGTTTTTTTTTACCCTAACGATGCTATCAGCCATTACCCATCAACGAGAAGGATCTGGAGAGCACAAATAGGCATTGATCCAAGCTAGGCTGACGCTGCAGTCGAAATGACAACCTTATAGCTTTTGTTTCCTGCGCGTTATTTCTTCGTGGCAGAGTATTACGTGAAACTGACAGAAAGACAAGGAAAACGTCTCAGTTTGTGCAGTGAGTATCACATGACCCCATAAAAAGGTAAGCGCGGGTACGAAACGCACATGATGTTCTGACTTTTGCCCATACCTCAGTATCATTGTGGCTACTTTAAAATTGTTGAGGGTGAGAACTATGAATTGTAAAATAAATTTACTTAAGTACTACTACTGCTACTTAAGTAGCACACTTGTAATGTCACTGGAATGTTATAAGAATAAATGTCGTAAACGAGAAAACATAGTTAAAACACATGGATGTACTCCTAGCTGTTTTAGATTTAACAGTTTCGCTGATTTCGAGTATAAAACTATACTACGCCTACATCCCTACGAGGCTAAATAATTTGTTATGGTATTGCAGCGCAAAGATACTTCTATGTCTCAAATTTTGGTTTCCATATACAGAATTGGTGGCATTCCCAGGAAATTGGCTTCCACCAAATTATTACACGAAATAGCTTATCAGGTGTGATCCTGACCGAATTCTAAATAAATTGTCGGTCGATTTTCGCCACTCTCGTGTATGATTGAGAATCCATTCATTAGCCACCGATGATGTCTTATAGCCTAGATAGCATTTTAAGGCTGCGGATTAAAATCGGCCATTATTTCCTCACCCCTTTAATACAAGCTTTGCGTTAAAACAGTTTCTATTTTGCAAAAGGCTTGAATATACCATGCAGTTGAACTTGTGTTCTAAAAACCAAATCGTCTAGCCTATGCATAGTTCATTAATCGGTACCACAACAATGTGCTGAGCATTGTACCGATGAGTTCTTTTTGCACAACACAAAATGGCAGAAAAAATATTTCACCCTTCATAAGCAATGACAACGATGAGATATCACAAAGCGGGCACAAGGATAGAGGAGAAAGTCACTATGTACAATGGAAATTTGTACAGCGAAACTTCTGTGTTACAACCCAGAGAAATATATACAACATAACAGAGATAATAAGTAACTGACTACAATAAGTAAGGCATAACACTATGATAAAACTACACCAGTTAAGTATGTGTAACATTAAAATTAAGTCCACAGTAGCTGATATTATTACAAAATACATCGTTGTCACCTAAGCATGTTAACGAAATTGAAAAGTGTAAAAAGCTTGCAAGCTACGACAACGAAAGAAATGTCTGGCTCCAGACATAACTGATTTTAAGTGTTACCATTTTACAAAAACGGAATGTTAAACAAACAGATAAAAACTCAATAAAAAAAATAAACCTGTACTTGCCTACAACTGAGTTAGAATGATATCGTAAAAGAGCAAGGTTATGTCTGAAAGAATGTAAGAAGAAGAAGAAGGCGATTTCAAGGCGGGTGTTAATTATCGTTGTCCGCTACCACCTGGAACTTCTTCATTTTTCCATTTATGACGTTCATCTTGGTATACATCAGGTCTTAACTGAGCTTTCAGACCTAAAATTCCAAGCAAACATAAACTACTAAAATTCGTAGAACTAGATGTTTTCCATAAGTATTCTACCACTACAGTATAAATTCTCGGTTGAAGTAAAACACTGTGCAAATGAATGGACACACAATGCGCTGTCCACAGTTATCTTTCTATAACAAGAATTTATTAAGGACCTCACCACCAAACGACATAAAAATTCCTTACATCCGTACAAATAAAGAGCTCAAGTAATACACGATAAAAAATATGTAGAACAAACCTCCCAACAGTTGATAGCCAATTTGAGTTCCAGCAACTAGCGGGCGAATGATTGTAGTTGGTGCAACCTTAAGTACATTACGAAATGATGATTGCCCAGATGCACGATCTTCTTGCGCAGCCAATTCCAAATCGTCACGCGCTTGTCGATAACCCTGAAGCATAAAATTGTAACTCCGCATATCTTCTACACATTAGTTTCATATTTGCTGCCTACTACAATTTTTTATGGCAGGGTATCATGCGAAATACAACCACAATGGCGCTGAGATTTTTGCATAGCCTATCCTCAGTTTTGAAAATATCTCAGCACCATTGTGATTGTATTTCGCATAATACCCTGCCATAAAAAATTGTAGTAGGCAGTAAATAGGAACCTAATATTGTGATTTCAACTACAGCCTCAGCTTAATTAGGTTCTATGCCGATTTTGGCTGCCAAGATCAATCCCGTTGACAGATGACTGCTGATGACACTGACCAATAGAACTAGCTGAGAGACAGGCAAAACGAAAGAACCGCATGGTGTGGTGGTGAACGCGTTACTCCCCGGAAAAGACAACAGCGCGTTCGTTCCCCACAGAGACATATGCGGCCCGGAGTTTTGCAAATATCTCAGCACCATTGTGGTTGTATCTTTTAGATAATTGTGAAAACTAGAGTTAGACTTTCCAGTTCAGCGGCTCAGGACAATAATTTATAACGACATGAACAGCTATTCAGAAACATGAGTTTGAAAGTAGAAGAGTGCGCTATGATCTGATCTCACAGCATGGAATAATGCATAGAGAAAGGCGCTTATTTTAAAAAAAAAGATAAAATTCCCTACGCACGTCAACCGGAAACTTCAAAACCTGTATCATTACCGCCCAACAAATAGTTTATTTTACCACTTAACATGTACAAGTTGAGGACAATCAAAAAGCCTCTTGAAACATGCTGTACCGATTTACTGACTTGAAATGCAAGCTAAAAAAACCTTCGGAAAGTTGCTTACAACAAAAAGTAAGTTAAAGCCTAAGTAATTCATCTGAAGTAGATGGAGAAACGCACGCAAACGCTACGTAGATTTGCGATCGCTCTAGGAACAACAATCTAACCTGAAACGTCGATAAAGTACTTGCCCGCATTGCAATAATTAACAAAATGAGGTCAGACGTTAACCATGACAGCGTCTTCACGTACAACTGACAACATCCGAGTAGTTTGTTCACTTTACCATAGTGGCTCTAGTTCGACTTTTTTGTGAAACTTGGTAACCTTCCTTCAGAAGAAGCGTTGTTACTTTCTTCCAAACCCTCTATTTTTCATACTCATACAGTGCAGACAAGGTTGGCTCCGCTCTGAAGAATCAAAATTACACCCGTTTACTGATTTTACGTGAACATCTTCCTTCCAGAACCAGGTAAGTTGTTAGCCAACAGGAATACCGAATACAGGAATTCCTAACATTATTTTCCTCTTGAATTTCCATGTATGTATCACTTCCTTTAAAATGTATCTCGATGATTTTGACACCATATCGAAGGTGTTTAATGGAAGTACACTGCCGAAACTTCAGGTTCTTTCTGAAAGATACTTAACTCACATCGATGTAGAATTCTTGGCTTGGACGATACTCAGGCTAACAATTACTGTTGAACAAGCATAAAAACGTTTCAACCTTCTATACGTTAATATTCTTTTGCACTGCCCTTTGCAAAAATGCAAACAATTCGTGTTAGATATGGATTTACCCTAAGCCGCAGCAGTACAACATGGAAGGCCTCCAACAAACACATCATTTGACCAGGAGGTGTAAATCAGAGGTGTCGACAATACCTAAACTTTCAGTGCCAAAAACTTCTTCACGCGTATCTCGTGCATATAGGATTTACCTAAACCGACATAGTACATCTCCGTTTCAGGAATGATGTAAGTCATCGTAAAATAGAAGATTATGATAGGTCTTAAATACCGTTCACGATGGACAGATCTTTTAGTATATTCCAAATCCGTGTCATGAAGTGCATACGAAAATGGATAGAGGCCAAAATACGACAGAAGACCTTAGTCTGATAAGATATAAAACAATACCCGTGAAGACGAAAACTTCCTGTGTAATAAAACACAGTCCAATGAGATAGCAAACACTGATCGAAGTAGAAAACGGCTTCTCACAGATAAAGAGTAATTCGATGCAGGCTTGAAATTAAACAAACCTTTTACTCGTTCGCAGGCGGCAGATTACTAAGAATCACCATGTCTCTAATGTGTTTACAATCACAGTGCTTTGTTTACACTGGCGCGTATTCCGCTCTGGAAATGCTAGAACGCTGCAGTTCCGCAGAAACTTACATCTGATGCAATATCATAAGCAAGTTGCAGTCCATGACGTAGGTCGATTGGGGCAACTGTCCTTGCTGCTACGGCCCGACGATTTCGTTCATTGAGGTAAGGAGCAGATGGTTGAACTTCGTGTAAAACGGTCTCAGCAAGCATCTATACAAACACAAGAAAAAATAAGAAAATACAAGGCAATTCCACGATAGTCTTCTCTCCTAGAAATAATTCTTCTCTGTTACCTGAACTATCCTGAGAATAACTACCTGAATTACACCGACGACTGTCTGCGCCATGCCCACGACCCCGGCCGCTGAAGAAAGCCCGAAAGACCCAACACCCTTCTGAATCCCTTTTACCACGTGTCCATTTTCTTTTCGAAGCTCAGCAACCGGAAGCCAGAAAAGATCAACAACTCCTTTTCCTATAAAAAAGAAGATTTCTCAAACCATAGTAATTGACTTGCTGTTTGACTTCAATTTAAAATAAAATACAACTAGAACAAAGGTCCATTCACAACCAGAAAAATTTTATGGTGAATAAAATGCAAATCTAAACGAATTCAACGTTGACGAACCAATCTGGACTAGAGGACTAATGGGACTGCAACTGGCCAATACGTTTGGAATACTGGATTTTATATCCGACAACCACTCATCGATGGCTACCTGCAATCAGAGAAACATTTTAAAAACTGCCTGATACAATTGAAATTTCCACACGGCAAAAGCTTACATTTATACATCGACCAATTCCAAGCAGTCCATTTCGATTCACTATCTCTTTGAGAACAAATTTCGTGCGATTTAATTGACCAATCCCACTCAGTACACCTGATAATGGAAATTGAATAAAGAAGAAAACGGAGGAAAATAATCAATACTCACCGAAAATGGCCCCATTCCTCTCTACATTGATCTTATTCTTTCCATGATAATCAACATAGACTGATACAGCTGGTGAGAAAATGAACTCTCTGCAATAATATTTATAGTGCAGACACCAGCATAAACTATGATTTAAAAAAAAGAATTCAAACTTGAAAAAAGTGCTGCTGCGAGTAGTTTCAACCATTTCACTACTTTCTTCGCGTTTTACAGACAATGGAGGCATCTCAGCACAAATTCCGTCGTGGCAAACATGATCCTAAAGTAATGTGCTAGGTTCAAATATTAAAATGTATAAAAATATAATAAAATATATTAATTCCAGAAATCCGAAAATGAACCGCAGGGAAGAATGCCTCATTATCACGCGTGATATAGGGCAGTATATAAAACTGCTTTTCTGATGTGAGGGGCACATTATACTTCCATGTGATTTCTGTGCGGTTGGTCTCTACGTGACATACTTAGTGGAAACCTCATAGGAAGCGGTGAGTTTGCAAAGCTGTGTTCAAAGTGATTGAAATCTTGGTTTAGAGTTTCATTGTTTGGTTATGGCGGCGTCTAGCCGAGTAGATTGCTATCAACTTGACCTTTCCAGGCTCTGAGGAAGGCGAAATCCGCCGAAACGTCAGCTTAATCGTGAACAAAGAATAATAACACCTCGCGTTTGCTCAACAAAAATACGAAGAAAATTACTTGATCAATGCCGAGGTTAACAGAAAGTCGGTCGTGGCAGTTAAAATATAGAATTAGAATCTTCATATTGCAACTATAGATTGCTCTTATATTATGGTATATTATATTACGCACAGAAAGCTCTATAAGAAATGTGACACTTAGCACATAGTGAATCAAGCGAATAGTTGGACGGCACGTCCTCACTTGTTGTGTGGACCCCAGCATAATCACAATTTTTCGAAGATTTGCTGGCTAAGCCATTGTGGCTCCCTGGAATCCCAAGGACCACCTGGCCAAAGTCTGCCCCAGGTCGTCACCGCTTCAGGCAGTGGTCACCCTTGTGGATCAGAGGGAGATTTTCCGCCATACCACTAGTTTGCTACACGATGACAGATCCTGGTATTGGTTTACTCTTAGCTAGGCTTCCTCATGGAAACGCTGGACTCCTTCTCAGTTTGGGAGACCTCGCCAAGGAAATAAATCCCCCGCTTTACAAAGCTGCTCAACACCCAGGAACACCTCCCAGTTACGATGAGGCGGTAAACCGTTGGGAGGAGTTGCAACTCCAAGTGTTTTATTAGAGTTGTCTTTCACAAAAATGAAAACCACGGCGTCGTGTAAAGTAATGCATTGATGCGACAACATTCTGTTATTTACACCGCCTACACAGCAACCAGCTTCATTCACCTCTATAGAACCATGCCTATATATTTGGTTGCCCTCAATGAAAGCTGAGGTGACATAGAAAGATATAATAGAGTGATAAATAGTAACAATTGTTACCAAGAAAACTTACTTTGCAAGCACCACGTGAATTCTCATCGGTTGCAGTGCTGGTATCTATGAGAACACCGTTGGAGCCGCTGGACGGATCCGCATGTTCGTCATCGACGGTTTTCTCTTGATGCAAAGATTCATGTGAGGAAGCGCCGACTAATTTCTTTTCCACTGTAGTCATAGGCCCACAATGATCGACATCAGGGAATCTATAAATGAAAACTAATCCATTAGTAGAACAGAATGCTAGAGTCACACAAAAGAAGTGAACAAAATGAAATTACCCACTTAATCTCGCTACCACTATTCCAGTCACCAGCTAAATGAAGATCATCAACCATGGAAACTAACTCGTCTAACAATGGACCTGCATGGATAAAATCTGGACTGCTCGACTGAAAGAAAAGCTTAAGCTAATGGACCGAATTCAGGATTAAAGCGATTGTAAATGTGGTTCACTAGATACTTACTGGAGCAGAGACTTCTTCAACAGGAGAAATTAGATGAGATGCACGGATTTTACTATCAAGCAAATTGCCTGAATAAGAAAAGTGTAAAAATGATATTCATGGAGATTGTCACCTGATTTATTAAAGCTTGAAGCAGCCAACAACATACCATAGACAAGGAATAGTCGTATAGTGATATAAATATATATATATATATATGTATATATATGTTGTATATGCAGATACGTGCACACATGTATGTACACATATACAAATATATATACATACATGTATGTACGTATAAATAATGCAAATTTACATTATCACCTATTGAAACAGTTGACGGAGTAAGAGGCGCGTCCGAAAGAGGCTTTTTCACGGGTGATGCCGCCTGGCTGCGAGTTTCCAGATAAGAAAGATCGTCTTAAATGTTCCATCATCACACTACTTGTCTGTCTTCAAAAACAAAAATAGTCATTAAAATGTATCCCACATATCGATGATGGGGCAGCCTTCGGAGTTAATACGTTCAAGTTTATGTTAACATCATCATCATCAAGACATGGATAAAGATTATCGACTACTACTCGAGAAACTTCCTTCTCCGATTTAATCGTCGCTGGTATCTCCAAAACTGGTTGTGAAGAGACGTTATCAGGAACTGAAATATTCGATTAAACTACCACTAAAAAAGAAAGATGTAGAAAAACTCATTTTACCTTCAATATGCAATTCAACAGATGAACGGACTTCCTGGAAGAAATCGTCTAAAAACTCCATGGTGTCCTGATCGATGTTAAACTTTATAGGTAGTAAAGACACCTGAAAAAAATCAATTACACTTGAAAAAGATAACTAGAGCAATTCATCGGTAACAGACTAACTCTAAGTTTTCCCTCATTTTTATGAGACTCAACCATACGAATTGCTAACATCGGCGCACAGGTTCTACGAGGCTGGTCTCCAGATGAGTACTAAAAATTGAAAATTCTAGACATGAAAAGGAGTTGAAACTGCAACCACGCTAAACCAAACAAAAAGATCCCACTTGATACATCATTTCCTTAATCTGACTTGCTACTAGCTTATCGAGCAGTGTAATGTTGTGAATGGTAAAAAGTTTCATTGACATTAACGGAGAATTCTTGCCAAACAGTTGATATACAAAAGTAATCTGCAAGAAAGAAAGTGAAAATAAGGTCAAAATAAAAAGTAAACTTCTGCAAAAGAAGCACACCTTACTAAGTTCTAATACAACGCAAACTGAATGATCTCTATATTTCCCTCCAGCTACATCTGTTGAGACAAATTGATTCTTTCCTTTTCCTTCGCGATACTCACTAGTGCTATAGCTACGCTCCTTTGGAGGGTCTTCACCTGAACATCATTTTTAAATAAAAACCTAATCTGATAAATTAAAACGAATTTAACTCAAAAAAAACCTGGCTCAAAAAAAAGGCAGAAAAAAAATTTTTGAAAAGTAGGAAGATGGAAAATCAAAACCACTTACCCAAGTCTGATCCTCCGTAAAGATGAAGGCTTATAGAAATATCACGGAATAAGTACCTAAAACGCTTCCGATCAAATAGTGAACGTAACATAGAACATATACCCATGACAAATTATGCTATTCCCTAAACATACAACAATGGTTTACCGACAACAAGTGTAGCTGATTGGTTTATAGCGCAGTGCTGGTGGTGCTCTCGATCAGGAAGTAATGGTGCTAGTTCGACCGTCACCCCAACACTCTCCTCCATTCTACGTGAGGACGAATTATTCCTGCTATCTCCAAGATTGCAAGAAGAATCGATTTAAACAGCCATAAGTAAAAAGAAATTAACTGCAAACAGCAGCCGAAACGACTTATGAAATCTTCGAAGACCACTGTGGACGATGAATCCCAGGTAGACGAATCGAATGCAAGAAGTGCCGGGATCAACAAAGTAGATGTGATGGCGCGCCACGTAAAACAAATACGAAAGTCTTCACAACTCTTGAGAAATATTCTTCCGTTTTTACAACTGTTCAAAAAAATACTGAAATCTACGAAAAACTGAAAACAGGTTGAAAAATTTAGAATCCCCAATACAAGCATAGCAGCAGCAACAATCAATGACTACAACGGAAACAGGTCGCCCTGTGCTAAGAAATTTCAACTGTTCAATACTTCTGCTATCTGAAATATGAGTTCTGATGAAAGAAAAACTTTCTACCTCTCCAGAAAGTCAAAGCTTCATCAGGAAAATTTATACTTTCTAGGTGGTTGTAAGTCCAACAATCAGAGATCGCAGTCGCAGCTGTGCACTCCGAAATGTCAAAACTCAGGCATGTCTTAACCTAATTCGTCTGAACGACAACAGATGAACAAGTGCCTTTAGGGATTGGATTCCCAGGAATAACACCGACCTGATCGTCAGAGTCTTTCACGAAGAACCAAGAAGGAAAATATGATGCTCCGAGGTCCTTAGAGCTAGCAAAAGCCAAAGCCACTAGGACACTTTTCCACTAGTCTGATGAGTCCAAGACTCATGATATCAAATGAAAAATTTCCTAACGTCGTCCGAGTCAATCCACGATCCACAGAGCGATATGTGATACAGATGATACTTTACTCTACCTGTACTGGTAATAAGAGACATTTTTAGTTGACATCAAACAGTATCATTTATATCCTTAAAATTTCCCGAATAGGAGAGTAGCAGAGAGACACTGTTTTGGAAGTTTCGCATTCGTAGTACCCAACTCAAATAAAATACGTAAAGTTATCGGTTTCTCTTTCTTAATAAGAAACCAATGCCTCGGTCCGTAGAGTAGAGAGGAACATAGTTCACAATATCTCATAACTACCTTCCAGCAGCTAAATAGCTAAATATTCCAAAGAAATATTGATTAGTTCACAATTTTTAAGTGCAATACCTCCACGAGCTGACCCTGTGCTACAACTAAACTAAGACCATGATTTCTTCAAGCATTGCTCCATAACATTAACCTATAACGTTGATGGTAATATAGTAATAATTTCTAGTAATATTTATTTAGTAACTAGGAAACTTGAGGACTTGAAGAACTGACGAAGCTAAGAGTTTGCGTAATTGCTGGGTATACCTAGTTCCATTAAAACTTCATTTTTAAAATCATTTCACATCGCCCAGGATGCATTATATATTTTGCTGAAACAAGCATTTCGTGGCTTTCTCTCTTTCTCTCAAAATGGTTACCAAAGTCACATAAAAGCACTATTAAGCTTTCGGCGTTGATCAAACCCTGACAGATGCGCCATGCATTTGACTTCATTAGGTATCGTTGGAGGTGGTTGGAAGCATACATGGCCTTTACAATGACTCGCGGTGGCCTACCAATGTATAGAGCCAGTGCTGCTATCATCCCAAACAAGTCTGGTACCAATTTGTCGACCCTGGATGAATGGCAGGCTTGGTGAGCCACGGGCGTGGTATCTCAGCAAAGTCACATACGCCTTAAGAAGCAGTTCTCGTCCATTAAATTTCGTCTATATTACGAAATATTAAAATTCAAAATACGTGCACCAATAAAAATTCCTTTCAAAATGATGCGAAATATGTACTATCTGTTATATGTTCAGCTCACTTTAGAAAAAAAAATATATTCTCAAGTAAATGTTAATCAGGGACTGAAGTCTTGACTAACTGAATTCCGGTCAAACACTGCACTGTGATAGCAACCAAAGAGAATAGACACGATATTGGAATATTAGATGATATGATGCAAAATATTATTAGCAAAGCAGTATTACAAGTGCTCTGTTGATTTCCAACACACGAAGGTTTGAACGACCTTTCATAAATACCTTTGTCAAGCATTAAAAGTCAGATAGACGTCAATTCTGCCGCTACTATATCTCGTTTCTTCCACTAAAAACAGATAAGTCCAAAATTAAGACAAGATGACACTAACCGCACAGTCGGCGTTGAAAAATCAGCAGGTAAAGCAGCCAATACGTCACCACACCAATCACTAGGGACGCGAAAATGATGTGGATCTACAGTGATACCAGTATTTAGTGGCGACCGGCCGCGTTGTGACCCAATGTACTTGATATTTGGCTCACCAGTTGGATTCTAAACAACTACGTAGAATAAAAATATCAAATTCATTCAAAATTGAATGGGTAAACACTAACTGTCACTCCACTTCCAATGACATCTTCGTCTACCATACAGAATTCATCGTCCGTCGACAATGAATATGCCCGATTTCGTTCTGTGTGTACATTATCTACTAATGTATTCATCTGTAAGTCCTGCAAGATTCAGTTTAAACATATAGAGTTTCAACGATACTGATTACCAAAACTTCGGGCATTCATAGTTTTTGAGAAACTATTCCTACGTAAGAATCCTCAAGGTGTTTATAGCCAAGCTAGGGCGTTCTCATGTATATTACAGAAAGTAGGCCTGTCCCAGACAATTCTGTTACTAATTTGGTGAACCCAAAAGGACAGATGCTTGGTGGACCCGGCCGAGATGGAACCAGTCTAGGTGGTTTTAGCCGTCTGCGTAATCAACGGTAACACCCGCACTGCGCTACCCGGCGACATCTGCTTAGTTATTATACAAGAAAATAATCAATAACGCAAAAAGGATACCGCAACTCTTTGGCAGCGTCTAACGCAATAAGACACACGGACAATCGCGTAGCGATGTCAACAACTACCAATAAGAGGACGTTTTTAAGATATAAATCTCAGCGGTACCGCTTAATGGTGGCGGGGGTACTGCTGATTGTCGGACTGCGATGGACAGCGGGGTCCACTTCCCCAGCAGGGCCTCCCAAGCTGAAAAGTCCGACGTTTCCATCCAGAAGCCCAGTTAAGAGTAAACCAATACCAGGAATTACCACCGTCCTGGTTTCAAACTAATCACATGGTGACAAATCTTCACCCCATCCACAATAGCGGCTCGCAACTGCCTGGAGTGGTGAGAATCCGAGAAATGCTTCAGTTAGGCTGACGCCGGGACTCCAGGTAATCACAATGGCTAAACAAGCAAGTTTCCATTGATTTGGAATTTTACTTGGGCCCTCGTAACCAGCGAACACAGACCATCCAAGTACCTAATCTACTCCCAAGACACTGAAAGTGCCGAAGAAGATTTTTAAAAAATACGAAGAAGATAAACATTTGCCTCTGTGCGTACGTCTCCAACACTAAGCTTATCTAGTACTAGCAGCAAAAATGAGAATTTGAAAAAAAATCCTGACAGTTAGTACCTTCCCAATCTTGTTTGTGGAATATGTTGGCGAAAATTCTTCAAGAGCAACCTTTCCATATGGAACAGAGTTCGTTGGACCAGAAAACGATAAAGGTGTTTCTTGCATAGCAGATGCCAGCATCCGCTGAAAAACAAACTACTAATTCGTTGGCCAAAACCTTCGATAGGCCATATTAGATTAGTAGTACCAGTACCAGTATAGTACTAGTAGTACTAATAGTAGAATTTTTTAGGCTATATTACCTTCATTTTAATTTCTACGGGATTCGGTGAATTAGTGGGTAAAGCTTCTGAACTGGCGAAGGTTGTTGGTTCGTCGTGCTCAAAACACTACGATATATAACAGAAAATCATAACTATGAAGAAGAACAAAGTTTCATGTTTCCAATTTCGTTTTCCACAAACGTTACATCACAAACGCCAAGCACAAAATTTTTGGAAAAGAGTTAATATGAAATTTATTGGTATACAAAATTATCTGGAATAATTCTAAGGTTTTCAAGAAGCAATAACAATGTAAGATTAAGAACTTACTTTGGAACGCTTAGACGTTATTTTGTTACTAGACTGATTACCGAAGCAATACTCCTTTCTATCACTGGGAGTATAATTTCCACACTGGGAAATTTCAGATGCCAAGTTCATTAATACGACTAACGAATCAGCACAAACCCATGCCTATGAAAATATGCAATAAACTTATCAAAACCATGAACGTAATATGAAGTACCTCAATGATGTCGCTTCGACAGCGAATGTCAAGCAGAGGACAATTAAGAGCGGAATGCTCATCCAGAAATAAAGATGACAGAAACTGAAACTGATGAGATGGTTATTCAGTTCCAGAAAAAGTTATGAGCAATCATATCCAATTCTTTCGACTAGAAACTTTCTGCTAATCACAAAAACCTAACAAAATATTTTTTTTCTTAATTGGGGAGGTCGACTGCTAACACTTAAATTATATGATATCTATTTTCATGGGATGCGAAACAATGGCCGAAATTAGTGCCCAAAATATTATGCAGGGAATTAGGAATTTATTCAAGACGATTCATCTGATTCATAGGCAGAAACAGTAAGCGCTTTATAAGTGACAACGATAAAATGGTGAGATCCTTCCGCATTCTGAAATAACCTACTTCAAATTGAAACAGTCCAACATGAACAACTTTAAGAAATCTTCGCTTTAAAGGAGCACTTTTGACATATTCCTTAGACGACAGCCGTTCCTCGAAACGAACGTTCTCCTTTGATTTCTTTGCACTACTAATAAAAATTCGGGCACCTTCAAAAATGCTTACTACCTGCAAATAATTAGAAAACTTGGAATATTAACAATAATGATGCAAACGACAGCATTACTCAAGAAGAAATAATGACCTTAGCAACATTCATATCTTGCATAATAGAACTGCTGATATCACTCTCTCCAAGAACTAACCTAAAAACAGAGGTGTAGTTACACAAACAAATCTAATTTTTGGTAATCAATACCGCAAGCGGACGTCACTTTCAGGATTTGTCCATGCGTGATCGTAAGCTAAGACAACATTATCCAGGTGAACATGGAGGTCCGTCTAAACATGATGGAACATGCAACATTGAATTCATGTCATTACTGCACTCCCACCGTAACCATCGGAAGATCGTAGCCAGGTATAGGGTAGTCCTGAAGTGTGAGGAAATCTGCCAACTGAAACATCCACGTTTCCTTCGAATTCCGAAATGGTCGCAGTTGGACAATGCTGTTTCTTACAGCTATTGCAAGAAGAACATCCTGAAAATATGTGGAAGAAGACATAGAATATCTGAAAGTAGGGAGAAAAACACCTATGCCAGCAAAAAAAATTATAAAATTTTGAAAAGCGGACCTTGATATTTTGCCCAGGTCGTTCGCACAGATAGATTGCAACACCAATAGCATCATCTGCGGATTGGGAACGAAATTCATCACCGACTGGTATAGAATTCATCTGCGTGTCGTCACGATTCCACTTCCCAAAATCTGCTTGGTTGACAACTTTTGGCATCATGCAGTTATCTGAAGAACTCCACCAGATATAATGAGCAGATATAATGAAAAGCAATCGCAAAAGTACGCACTTCTATGACCAACTCCAACTGTGCGTGCAGTGAAGTAGAAATATGTATCAGTAAGAGAACCGTGATATCCAGAAACCATAAACAATTGTGCATCCGAAAGTTCCACCGAAATCTGACACGTACTCTTATCCTTCTCGTTCTGTAACGAGAAAAGTCATCCTGACTAAACATTATGAAAGAACAAACGTGCTTCACAGGAGAACAAATAAAAGAAATGATTCGGAGGCAGTAAAATAAATTATATCTTCATAAAATGTTCGCGTTACAATTATTATTTAGTTTTCATCTTTATTTTTCACTTATTTACCTTACTTATTGTCTGGCACATCATCAGAGTTCCCTTCTTCACATTGAGCGAAAAGCTTAATATATGCGACTTGTTCCTGTCGTATCTGTTTGTGTGCGTAGATGATTGAAAACGTTCTTCTTCATCGTCATCTTCATCTCAAATATTATTTTATATGAACATTACAGAAAGATATCAAGACGCAGTTCGAGGAAGAAAACAACTTCCGCAGGATTAACAATCTTAAGAGCAATTTATCACTGGCAAGCTGGCAAAGTAGTGGAAAAGGTTTCTTAGAAAATTGCTTAAACTTGGAGTGAAGAGGTAAAAACTGACATTATGCATATATGAATGTACGTATATGCACCAGTATCAGGATCCATCACCGTCCTGGCACCAATCGCATGGTGGCAAATCTCGCCCTGATCCACGAGGGCTGCGGTTGCCTGTGGCGGTGAAGACCTAGAGCAGACCTTGGCCAGGCTGACCTCGGGATTCCAGAGAACCACAATGGCTTAACAAGAAAATCTCCGAAAAGAGGAGATTGTGCTGGGGCCCGCAAAACCAGTGAGGCCGGGCCATTCAAGTATCACGTAAAAAAAGTATATATAAACTAGAAACCACACAGATAGTATATTAAGCCCTTCACCATGATTCAAAGTACGCGAAAAAATTTGCTCACAGTGCTCCATGGGGTCGCCGCTACATTCCTGGAACATATCATCACTTAGCGCATTGATTTTGAATTCTTCTTCTCTCGGCCTTGTTGATGGTGTTGCGGGATGCCAAAGTAGGAGATCATTTACCTGGAAGCCAAAGTGAAAGACTTGCATAAGATACAAACTGGAAGAAGAAGAGCAAGATCTCTAAGCAGAAAACCATGAGAAATGATACAGGCACGCTCACCAGTCTATTGTAAAGCACTTCGAGGTACGAATGACTTGGCATTAGAAGTCGAAGGATTGGCACATCAAACGATATTACGAATGCCGACTGAAGAATGCATTTAGCTCCAAAAGAAGTCATCTCTTCACGAGATCCAGCCAATATTAACTTAAATAAACTCGCATTACATAAACCTCATCTGCATTTGTTTCAAAAAGGTTCTAATAAAACAGACATCGTTGCCTTCTTCATGTTTGTGCAGAAAAGAGCGATGGGTCTGGGCGAATGGACCTTCCCGTTGCGGTAACGATTGTATAACAGAAAGTGAAATGCTCTTCGTCATCTCATCAGTAATGCTACTGATGGAGTGAATTTTGGTATCTGATGCTTTTAAGATCTTATTTCGTGGATCGTACTCCAATTTCATGCTGAAATTCTTTTATTTCATGAATTTGAAAATTCAAGATAACCAATGTATAGCAACAAATGATTTTATTACTTCTATATCCCTCCGCCTACAGCAAAATCAAAACTAGAATGTCAAAAAATTTAAGTCTCAAAACAACTAAATAACACAAAAGACCCACTGTATTGGCTCATCCACTGAAGTTTGACCTCCCCAAAGAAAACGCCGGTCTTCTTCAGAACAAGTGAACTTCTCAGAAACACCACAAAAATAACCTAAACAGCATACTTAAAAACTGATTAAATCTAAATATGGAAGAAAAATTCCACTGAAACTACCGTATATCTCAGTAGCAAAAAGCTCCAGCAGCATGTTTTCCCCGCCAAGCGGTACTTCGACAGTCACTGAGCTGACATGAAGACCAATATATTCTGTATGAACATGGCGTTGACGATAAACTGAGCGAGGTCCACTAGGACTTCGCAAATCAGCGATCGGTATTCTTAATTCAAAACATTTCCACTTAAAATTAACCGTACTTCACACCATTCGAAAAAGAAACAAAACCTTATATTTAGATCCAAAGCCTGACATTTAACAACCACCATTGTTTTGTTGGATTGATCGTTAATAAGCGGCACACTAAACAGATCTTCACGGAGCTGGAGATGGTCTTTCCTTAAGATGAATCAATCGATTGTGATGAATTGATACCTTGCCAAATTAATTTGCACTCTAGAGTCTCGAAAAACCTCATAAATTTTATTCTACAACATATTACGAACGGAAAAGAAAACAAAATTATAAAATATTAGAAAACACTAACCTCATAACGTTGTCCAACCTTGAACGCCTGTACGATGGCAAATCAAAAAATGGTTGTGGTTCCAACAAATCTGGAACCCGATCCACAATGCTAAGATCTAAATCACAACGGCACTTTCCCATATAGACGAAGACCTTCGACTGGAATAAGTTAAATTAGATGCGCTAAACAAAGTAATGGGAAACTGTGTAAAAAGACATAAAAAAATGAATTCCTGGCAACGTACCTCGTCGGACCCCGAAGGAGAACTGCTGAACACTAGTTTCATTTGTGGTTCTTGATCCATACACTCAATGTTTGAAAAATCCAAAAGTGGTAAATGCGCACTTTCTGGGTCATGCTAAAGTAAATATTACTCGAATCGCATCATAGGATGGTGTGAAGGTTGTGAACTAGATCAACTAACAGGATTAGACTCCGGGATGAGATATTCAATAAAGTCCATATTGGGAAAAACTAATTTCATATTCATTTGTTCACCGGCGTCGCTCTTCTCCATCTGATAATGAAAGAGAATCGAAGTACCAACAAGTCTAAAATAATTCACTTCTTTTTCTGCGAAAACGTTCATCTCAAGTTAATCCACAAACCTTAGATGATCCTTATTGTATAAATGGTCCAGTAAGGTCCGTGTAGTGTGTAAATTTGTATGTTTTAAAGAAACTTTGGCAGCTTTCGTAAAGAACCTGCAACAGGATATCACAAACTCTTGGCACGATGTCTCTAAATTCCTGAATAGAGAGACGGCCTTAAGTCCAGTTTCCATTTTTCTTTCTTTCATATGAAATTACGAATAACAGTTCGTGATTACTGGATCTTTCGTAATAGAACAAGGATATTTGGTGTACACCACATTAAAAGTCGAAATAGAAGTAATTCTTAGGTATTAACTTCCCCTTCCAGTCATACCATTCTGGAAGGCTTCAAAAGAAGCGTTCATATAAAGACTTACAAAGCGAAAATATTTCGAAGCTTCGACAAAAACATTCAGCTCTCACATTCCAATAATTCCTCTGTAAAAAGAATTCCTACCACCAATTTCAACTGCACCATCCCTAGCCAGGCTAACTTTTGATACTTGAAGATTCTTGACATATACACCTATCAGTCAGTTCGTCCTCCGATGATTGATCTACTAAATTTATTGTATCACCTGTCCTTCGGTCAATAGCAAAGTGACTCGATGGAAGCCAGAAAAGTCTCCACTGATCTAAAGTAGTCTAGTGGGTTCTGCTATTCATGAATGACCATGTCGTTGCTCTTCTTTCCGTGCGCATAATATCCCATCTTTTAAGCTTCGGCCTTTAATGAGTTGAGTTGAATTTGCGGCTTGTTGTTAAGATGAATCATTTGTCCAGTCCATCGTAACCTTCAATCGTCGACATAGACCGGAACTTCAGATTCCTCTTCCAAATCGTCTAGTAGAATCCCCTTCTCAATAACACATTCGAAAACACTGAGAAACTTTCACGTTTTTCACATAACCCTAAGGTTTCCGAGGCATACATCAAAATAAAGCCTCCAAAATTACGTGGGAAATGGCTAGGCATCAGTAGTTTCTACAACCGCAAACTTTGTGCGGTTCACATTAGCCAGGCTACTGTAAACTTGCCAAGCCACACGCTTCTTATAGCTCAGGCCTGGTGATAATTCTTTTTTGATAATGTTTCCTCTGCTCTGATCCTGATCCGCAAATATTCGTCCCGTTGAGCGTGAACGAGGCATAGCAAAGAAATCGTTCTTCGTCAACATCGTATTCTTAAAAGTTAATCGAAGCCCACTCTTTCCACAGGCGCTGTCGGTATCTGCCAGTATTCGTTTCAGCAAGCTGATGATTGATGGCATATGAAATGCTCCACTACTAAAGCGAGGATAAGGATGGATGTAAAAAATTTTGGCCAGATGCTATCGCCTTGAACTCTCTCCTCTAACGTCAATGTTAAGGTCATCGTAGGATTGAGAAGCTCTCCTTCTGGACTTCATAACTTATGTAGACGATTCATGTATCACGAAGAGATGCCCTAAATGTACTGAGCTTTCATAACTGCTTCTGTCTCAACTGAGTAAGAGGTGATTTTTTAAGTCAAAGTTAAACCAAGCACTCTTGTACTCTTGTGCATTCCGTATGCAATGAATTCCATTATAATCTTTCTCACCGAATCGTTTTCGAAATCCTTACTGTTCGAATGGTTGTGTGCCAACCTACGTTGTGTAAACTTTATTGAGAATGACTCGAGTTAGGAGCTTGTAGACGAACTAAAGCACGGAGAATGGGTGATGTCCACCCATTTTGAGTAGATTTTCCGTTTTCAGCCACGTGATGCTGCTAGTTTCTAGCTGTGTGGTGGCCGCGGACAGCATCAGTAACCCTCTATGAGTGACCTTCCTGGCTGGACGCTGTAGAGCGATCATATTGGTTTACGAATGGCGAATTCTCAAAAAATAGAGCTTAACTGTTGAAAACTAGTATTAGGCACCTTCCATGTGCTTCCCAACCACTTGAATGTTGATTATAGGTTGAATTGACATGAAGGATGCAACCCGAAAATTCGTAAACTCATCCCTCATCTATGAGCCATTAAGTTTCCGCATATAAAAAAAGCATGCTTTTTAAACAGGTAAAAAAGGCGGTTTTAAATTCAGAATGTCAAACAGAAAAGTCCATCTTCTAAATCCATTGAAATTTCAGTAAGAGTTTTTAATCCATGTTTAACTATGTTGGACGCGGGAATACGCCACGTGATTCGGCTGGTTGACCCTCGGTAAGGAAGACTCGAGGGATAGATTGTACCAAATGAAAGTAATACAGTTTTAATCGCGATTTCAGAATGGAAATTTCCGTTCATTTTCTTTTTTCCTGTTCTATTTATCAGCATCCTTTCCAGATGGTTGCAAAAAAAACGTTGAAGTTCTGTAAGTGTAAAAAAAAGCAAAAAGAATACTTCGTAAAAAACATGAGTGTGTCAAAACCGCAAAAGCTAACGTAGAACGACGCAACATGGTTAATGTCACACAGAAAGAACTGTTTAGGACAGATGCCAACCCAGACTTTATGTCAACTTCTAGAATGCAATTGGTTAGGTTTCACTACATCAATTTTTTCTATTCTAGTTGTTTTGAATTACTGAACCCATAATACTATCTGAAACACATTATTTGAATAAATACTTTCAAGAAAAAAGAATATTAAGGTCCAACTCACGCATTAGATTCAGCGAGGACATAATCGATTGATTCACTACAATCGCTACTAAGGTTTCTTACAAACTCCACTGACATCATATCAACATGAGGAATACAAATAATAACTGTGCCAATTTTAGCTGACAGTATCGTACTTTCCCTCCTGTTAGTTTCTGATTCTGAAAAAAAAAGAATGAATTCCAAAAATACAACAACTACTGACGAACTACACGCAACGAACTGAGAGTTTTGTAGTTATCGCGACACGCCTCACTGAATCTCCTTGACGTACGGTTGTCTTCCAAGTTAATGGAGTCAAATTCATGAAAATTCTCACGTTTCTTCCATGTACCTGAACGCTGAATAACGCTACGATACTGCACAGACGAACTGCAATCCTACTAGTCTTATCTTACTATTTAGTACGACAATACATTAAATTGGACGTGAAGGTACATGAAAAAGAACGCTCGTATAGTTTACTGCAAAAAAAGTTAGATAATTCAGTTTACCATGCATTCCTTGCGCTGTTACTTGAGCTTTTTGGAAAGCTTCCTCCTCTATATTTTTTGCCATGGCATCATAGTCACTTTTCTCCATTTTCTTCCCGAAATCCGCTGATTTTTCTGGTTGAGGTAGTACAACTGAAGAGAAAAACCTGAAAGTATGTGAATCATTATTAATCAGCAGTCTATACGACTACAGTAGGCTTCTTTTTGATACAATGGCCTTTAAAATCTTTGAAAAACTAAACGGCCGCTGTCTGACCTTTTCAAAATGTCAACTTGTGAAGGTAGGATGAAACAATGTAACCCTGTGAAAAACGACTCGATTTCGATCTAGAAGAGAAAGAAACTTAGAGAACGAAAAAGGGTGCAAAAATTCCAAGATAACACAAAAAAAATTGAAAAAATACCCTGTTGTCTCTTTTGTCTACTAATGCATCGGAATTTTTTATACGAAATATCACTCGAGATTCTCCAACAAACTCAGCAAACTTTATCGGATTAGAAGACAGTCTAAAAATATGGTACTGGGCAAAATTATGTAACAGCTTATTGAAAGAACTCACACTCGTTGAGAGTCCACTCTTGTAACTTTGAACTCGTCACGAAATTGCTGACTAACAGTTTCACCCGCATTAACTGCAAATGGTAAGCGGAACAATTGCAGAAATGCATACAAGAAAGAATTAGATAATAAATTACAATTAGAATAGCATGATTGATAGTTGGCAGTAGACGATGATAGCGTCGAGCTGGAAAGTTCTGACGTTGCCTCGGGATTAGTTACCAATTTCTGAAAGTCAGAGGGATTATTCGGCCTATAATTTACAACTATCCCCATAAATATAAGCCACAAAACATCGCTGAGTAATTCCGGTCCATTTCGTAAAATTCCTTCTTGCAATTTTCACTCATTCTCCTAACGGTTTACCGCCTCATCGTGGCTGGGAGGTGTTACTAGGTGTCGGGCTGCGATGTACAGCGGGAAGATTCAGTCCGTCGGCAGGGTCTCCCAATATGATAAGGAGCCCGGCCTTTCCACCAGGAAGCCTAGCTCAAAGTAAACCAATACCAGGACCTACTACTGTCCTGGTATCAAATTGGTCGCATGGTAGTAACCATTTGGGGTAGATTTTGGTCTGGCTGACCTCGGAACTCCAGAGAACCACAATGGATAAACCAGCAAAACTTCGAAAAGATGGAAGTTATGTTGGGGCCCATACAACCAGTGAAGATGGGCCATCCATATATCCTGGTAAGTAGTGATATAACCACATCCTTTCCGTAATTTACGGATAACGCAGAAAGGGCATTTCAGTTTTACACAAGATAGAGCAGAACTGAATACGAAACTGCACATGCTTGGAGTCTAGTCATCATTATTACAACTGTAAGAGTGGAAACCGAATTGGAGACGGAAGAAAGAGCTCACTGATGAAAATAAACGCTCAACCACCTATTTGACAGGAACCGAATAACAAACAACTCACATGCTTTTGCTTCTCCCTTCTTATGTACATACTCGTAAGAATTTGACTAGAGTTATTATCTGAACATTGATCATCGAATTCCGTGAAAACATCCGTGAAAACCTCTAATCCTAAAACCGGAGCATGGTATTCCAGAACAAAGCATTTATGCAGATAAAAAAATTTACCTGAAATATCCATGAACTTGTTTAGGTTCGCTATACTTCCCATTCCTTGAGGCTGGTTTGTAATAGTCTCTGTGCTTCCGCCTTCTTGTTGACAATTTCTCATTTGTTCATCGATAAACCGTACCCTAAGCAATTAGTACGTCGCAAAATAAGTCTCAAAGTCTTATAATAAAACATGTGTTAAGAAAATAGCAAGTGAAAACAGGTAAGCTGCTAATTGAACTATGTTTCTCAGACTAGTAGACTTTTACAATGACAAAACCGTTTATAGCTACACCAGCAAAACTCCAAAAAAAACGGAAATTACGCTGGAGCCCGCAAAACCAGTGAGGAGGGGCCATCCCAGTATCCAAGTAAGTAAGTAGCGTTTAACCCCAAAGCATACAAACAAAAATGAGTTAATACTCACTTTCCGATTCGGATTTCGATAGCAGTGCACATGTCCGACATGAATTTCGGTGGATTCTCAAACCGTATCGTTGTCTCTTCCAATTCCAAACAGAACCGAGAGACGATTGCATCAATAACCTAGCTCATTCCAGTAACAGCAAAAGAACCAATTAAAATATTTACTTTGATTTATAACAAACTTTGGTGAAGGCTTTCACACCATCTTTGGCCTCGGTGTCAAATTCCTCTTCGCTGGAGCACTTTTCATTTTCGTAGAAACTGCGGGCCAACTCGCTAGACGATACTAATGACTCAACTACACTGCCAATCATTGACGAAACTATAAAACGATCCAGAATAAATCCGAAAAGATTTTCACATCGCGTCACACCTACCAAGATCCTTATTGTCCAGTTTAACGCCTTCTCGCGATAGAAACGTCAAATCCAACTGTTTCACTTTCATTTTACTTGCATCAGAAGTGATGGACCGCCACGGTACTTCTGAATTGCGATAACATCATGTTACATGATGACAAGAAATACCAAGAAAAAAAAGAAAGGAGAAAAACAAGGCGTAACAACGCTAACCAATTGTGATTCCTCCAACAAATCCGTCAGTAAGCCTTAACGGTACATTCATTGACGTTAAGAGTTCATTCACATACTAAAACTCAGACATGAAACACTCCCAAAGATAAAACTTTTCCCGGAAAACTGGTCTCAAATCAACGGCAAAACGAAAACCCCAATAATAACCGCAGAAATAAAAAGATTACTTGTACAGTTACTCACATGTGCATTGATTTTGACTTCATTGATGGATAGTTCACCAGCAAAGAGTTTAACTGAGAGTTGATCGAGCGTGAGATTCTGTTCCAGGAATTGTCCAAGATATCGCTGTATTATGAAACGACACCATCGATTATGCAGACCATCCGTTATGTTAAAATCAGACACCTTCATCGAATTTCTGAACACAGTCAATGAAAGCGACAACACCCAGAACATTGGTGATCGATTGTGATGAGCAACAAGCACAAAAAAGAAAACGATTGAACAAATTCTAGACATATAAGGAAGAAGATACCATTTATAATGACTATGATGACCCTTCAGCATTACTAGAACAAAACAAAACAAACCAGTTTAAAAAGGAAACGAAAGTACGAGCAAGGACTACACTTCATGGATAAGAGAATGTCCACGAGTATATGCTAGATCTTCGCTGCTTAGCATATCTTCCACGCAAAGCACTTTGTTACAGTTTATATAGATACTGGAATTCAACTCAAAATCAAAGTTCACAATTCTTGCGAAAATTTCGCTGCGTAAAAGAGCACACGTTACGGCGCTGATATGCAGCCAACGATCAGCTGATGCTTCACGAGGTTCGTGGCTGTGCTGCCTCTACAGAAGGTGAGTTGAGGGTCGAGGCGATGATGGTCCTGCCATCTCGCGAACTTCATTAGGGACATGAAAATTTATTTCGTAGAAAACGTTGCTGCTTAATTTTATTGAGCTGTTTTGCGTGATAGGACAATAGACTGTAGTTTCTCTCACTAACGAAAGCTGAATTCCAACCAACTTACGCCATAAATTGTGATTACCCGACGAAAAGGCTGTACTTACATCGTTTCTGCTCCATAAGCTTGGTTGCAGGTACCTGTAATTCCGTTGGCAATGAGCCTTCTCGAACTTTGCCCAAAAATAGCGCTGCATCCATGAGTTTGCATCCAGGCACACAGCTTCAAGCAACGTTGGGACCGATTTTCTTTGATCTTGAAGATGTGAAGTGTTCACACTCGCCACAACCAATGTGACAACACATCAGCTGAAGAACTGCTCCTGGACCCATACCAGAGACCTTCATAGTTGTCGTGCACCATGCATAGAGAGCACACTCTATGAACTCCGCGTGAATTCTCCTATAGCAGATATCAAAGACTTCTGATGGAACTCAACTATGAGTTGAATGCCTCGAGATACTGGGTTATAATTTTTATGATTGAAGTAACAATAATAACAGCACAGTAACAACGAAGCGAAGTATACGAGGCGGAATGGAAGGGCCACTGGTGGGACGAATTGAACGAACTGAGAAAGCTAACTGATGGACTGCCTATATTCAGTTAATGATGGGCGCAGTGAGGCTAGAATGGATGAAGACACAGTTTGCTAACAAGAGGTGTTCGGAAGTTTCTTAGATAGTGCAATCTGATAAGGCCAAATGCACACATAATACCATAGCCGCGAGCGTTTACATGAGATAACTTACTTGGATGACTCGTCCTCACTGATTATGCGGGCTCTGGCATAATCTCCACTTTTTCGGAGTTTTGCTGCTTTAGCCATTGTGGTTCCCTGGTATCTTGAAGTCATCCAGACCAAAGTCTGTCCCAGGTCGTCACCACTACAGGCAGTCGCCGATCATGTGGATCAGAGGGAGATTTGGCACCACGCGACTAGTTTAGTACCAAGACGGTGACGGATCTTGGTATTGGTTTACTCTTAGCTAGGCTTCCTAATGGAGACGCCAGACTCCTTCTCAGCTTGGGAGACCCTTCTAAAGGATGGACTTTCCGCTGTACATCGCAGCCCGGCACCCAGGAACACCTCCTAGCTACGATGAGGCGGTAAACCGTTGAAAAGGTACATGAGATAAGTGCAGCAAATATTTTAACATACAGATCTTATCAGATCCTCATGGGAAAGCTTACAGAGGACATTGCTCTTAGGAGATGACTGAGCGCTCTGAAACATGAATTGATAAAGAACATTCTATATTTACGAATAATGTTCTTTATAGCTAACTGCCAAACCACAATCCCAACAAGGATTTTGGTGTACGAGTCACATCTAAGGGCGGACTAAGTCATAAAAGTCTGCTGGAAATACCAGTTGCCGTTATCTTAACCACTGTAAACTATGAGAAAGCATTCGACGACGTCGAACCGAACACAATCCTGGGCAACGAAGTGGATCGCCATTTACGAGAACTCTGGCAGAGTGCTCTCACAATACGACCACGACAATATAGCTCTCCCATCATCCTCCTACATCGTCATCGGAGTCCAGCTGGGTAAGCTATAACAACATTTATCCAAGGCTCTTTCTCCCTACGTATAGACTAGCAGAAGTACACATAAGCATTAGTTTTGCTCAATATGTCGTCATCTTTCGTGGAACTAGCGGTAACACGGAGATGATATTCAAGCAGGTTTAAGAACACGACGAGCAATGCGAAAGAGGAAGTGCACAAGAGATTGAGAGCAGAAGGGCCACTTCTTTCTGTGTCGTACGATCACTTTCTTCGGTGTGTTCTTCAAATACTATGCTATGAAACTTGGAGATAGGTGACAGATCAACCACGTCTTTGATTTCGCACACCATCCACAAGGCGCTTGAATGATATCCCCCAAAATACCTGAAATCCCTGCCTCCCTGAAAGGGCCTGGAATCGTGAAGACGCCGGCGCCAGATGGGTAAAGTATAACAATGGAGCAGAACCAAAGATAACTGTTCTTAGAGACGCCCGTACAATGTACTCGCAGCTGGACAATTCCGGTCGTACAAGAACAAATGCAGATGTTACCATGCACAAAGAGAAAACATCTTTGGACGATAGCTGCGAGTGAACAGAACCGTTAAAAACTCCGCTGAGATTCGCGCAACTAGTGAAGGCAGACCATCCATATGTCAAAGAACGTCAAGGAACCCAAATGGAATAAATGATTTCTCAAGGAAAAGCGGCTTAGATCAACGTTTAGGAAACTGAATTGTAGAAAACTAAAGTTTCATAAAACATGATTTTCACTGTTTTCTTAGATTAGGTCAGCCCAATAAAAATACTGCCGAGCCTTCGAAAGTGAAAAAGCGCACATGTCGAGTGTCTCGTAGCCGATCATTTCCTTCGCTTCACAGTGCAAACGGGTGATGACGGATTGAGTGGAAAATACGAATTTTTATTCATAACTAACGAGAACACGTTCTCTATCATATCATATGCTACTCTTTCAATCCATGATCGCCAGTCTATTGGGCTCCCGTGTAATTGTAGGACTTCAACTAGGACTACGAACACCTGGAAGAAAATAAAGGTGATGGAACTACGATAGCTCATCGACTCAATTATGGAAAGAACGTTTATTCAATGTTTTCAGCCATACCGACCACATATAGCACAGATCACATTTCACTTCTCAGAAGCTGATTAATCCGAATTTAAAAGGGCTAGGCTGAACTTGTAGATTCAGATAAACTACGACTTCAAACCAGCTTAAAAGAAATGGTGGTTTGAAATAAAGAAAACACACCATTTATGACCGTCCAGAAGTCTCTAGTCCACTAAGAGCCTCGAAAAAACATGCAAATATGTAAATGTGCCTAATTAGGTAAGGGATTATGGTGTACAACATGTTTCATAAGGTAAAATGGTAAAGGATAAAGCTCTAAGCGTTGATCAATCTATGAGAGATGCGCCATACAATCGACTTCATTGAGAATCTTTGGAGGTGATGGAATGTTTATCTGGCGTCTATAATGATTCGCAGTGGCCCACCGATGTATCGAGCCGGTGCTGTTGTCTTGCCACACAAGTCTGCTATCAATATGCCGACCCCAGAAGGATGGAGAGCTTGGTTACCCTTGGGCGCGGGGATCGATCCAATGTGTATTGCAGGGCGCCTCCGACCACTGCGCCACACGCGCCCCTCATGAGGTAATGCCTGTAACTGGAGGCCACATGGCTATGAAAGCGTTATGAATGGAAAGATGTCCACGGCGAATCTCAGAATAAATAAGTTGACAGATTTTATACAAATAGAAGAGAATAGGTGCGAATGCAGGAGAAATCCAAGGGACAAACAGTCTACGGTAGAACAATGACGAGACCATACTGGAGTTGCATTTAAATATGCATTACGTTGAAGTAAAAACAACTACCACCGTTCTGAGCTTTACAAACATACTTTATAATAAAAATTTAACGTCTACATTTTTGCGGAACACCTTACAAAGCTTGTTGTTGCTTAGCTATTTGCCGCAAAATATTTTTCGTAGTCAATTAAATCACATCTATTTTCGAATGGGTGAAATGATGTTCGCACAAGCATCATGAAATTTTGTGGTTAGTGAACCATTTTCAAACACACAATTCATAGAAAGTTCAAAATGTTTCCTGACGATGACCTGATGACGAAAACCATAGAAGTCCATTACTGTTTACAACGATTATCTCAAGGCGACAATCGAAATTAACGCTCTACTTCTCGAGCGATCACAGGGAAACTCAGGTTCAACCATTCTCCGATTTTTAGTTGAGAGGAATAGTAAAGGATAAAGCTGTCAGCGTTGATCAATCCCTAGGATATGCGCCATATATTCGACTTCATCAAGCATCGTTGGAGGTGATGGAATGCACATCTGGCCTTTACAATGACTCGCGATGGCATATCGATGTATCGAGGCAGCTATCGTCCTAAGCAGGTACTAATTTGCCGACGCAGGAGGGACAGAAGGCTTGGTGAGCTTCAGGCCCGTGATTGAACCCATGTGTTGCAGGACACCTCTGACCACTACACTATATGCGCACGTAGCCAAGAAGGTCGTCGAAAGATGAACATACATGCTCGAAAAATGGTTGCCATATAAATTGAACGATTAGGCGTTAGAAATCGTCTCCGGGCTCCTATGCAGTACAAACCTACCTGCGAGTTCAGCGCAATGGTTCGACCCAAATGAAACTTTAAAGAAAAGGAGCTTCTGGTGACTTTTAGTTGGCTAACACCTTGAATTATCCGCGACAACCTTTTAAATCCTGACGAAATACGCACAGCAGAAAAGCAAAAACTTCCACAACTTCCACAAAATCCATGAAATACATCCTAATCCAACGTTTTTTGCAGCTCTGCTCTATAGAACGGGAGCATTCGTCTTGCATGGTAATGGTACACCACACTTTGCTCAGATAACGTTGCTGAAGGTGAAAGAGCTGGGCTAACAAGCCTTGCCTCACCTACAGTACTCATGCGCTTCCAAGCGATTTTCACTTAATCAGACAACTGTGCCAGTTAGTTCAATACAGAACGCTATATTGACTTTCTTACGATCCGCCATGCTTAATTTTTTATGGTTAGCGTAAAGTGAACATTTATATAAACAATAAACTAATACGACGTTAATGACAAAGCGGAATTGAAAATGCACAGCGGTTACACGATTATTAAGGAGCAGCTTAAATATGTTAAAGGTGTAGGCGTGTGAATACATCGTTTAACATTGTTCAAGCATATGTTCTAGCCAAGAAAGGAATGATTTCAAAGAATGATAGCAATCACTACGAGTCGTCTGAATGCCAGTGTCATTGCGGAGTGCACGACTATTTCCGAGCCAGCGTTCTTACGAGGGTGCAGCTGTTCGCGCACGAAAACCAACAAACACAAAAAACTACGGGCTTCTTCTAACCAGCTGCGAGGGAAGAAAATGAGCCATCTGCTACGACTCACACTACACAGAGTGCAAAGGACCTCACTTCAAAATACACTTCCCTGCAACAGTATGCGGGTACAAATAACGTATGGAACATATAATAGTATAAGACAAATGAATGCAGATATCGAAAAAACCTTCGCATGAACAACTTCAGAATTCTGAGTAGATTAGTGCCGGAAATGTGTAAATTCGATGCATTCTTAATTTGGTCCATAAATTTGCGTATAAAACTAGTTAGCACATTTTAAAATCTTCGCTGAGAAATGCCCCTTGTTTTCGAATTCACTTAATAATCAGTAACTAAGCTTTCAACTACTGGGCAGAAAACAAGCAGTGAAATATGTGGCAGAAAAATACGCAGATACCTCAAAAAAAACTAAGAGTAATTAGACGAGAACGAAAAAACTGGACCAGAGTATTATGTGAGGTTTGCGAGCTTTAGACATTTGGGCGCGAAATTCCCACGATCCGTGATAATTTTCGTAATCAGTTCCGCTGGTGTTACATCGAATGCTGGATTCCACACAGGTGTGTTCATATTTCCAACATAAAAGCCTGTAAGTTATCGAAACGTGGAAACAAATCGTGGAAAAACGAGAAACGCTAGCCTTTTAACAGCAAAAAACTTCAGAAGACTAAGAAAATAATACGTACCACCGACGGATAGCATTTCCTCCGCTGGTCGTTCTTCAATGGTGATCTGATCGCCGGATTGTCTCATTAAATTGATTGAGGTAACCGGCACCTAAACAAGCGAAAACCTCGCTAACTTTAGCACTCTATCCTTCAAGGAGTCAAGCTTTACAACAATTTGTTATGGGCATCTACTAAGTTCGAATACAAACTACACATTTTGATCGCGTTTCCTCGCAAATTCATCATTTCATTGATTTGAATTTAATGAAAACTTTTCGAGAGATCACATGAATAACCTCACATCTTCACTGAAGCCTTGCCTATTCGAATAGGAAAACACAGTTCTTAGACTGAAATTTAATATCACAAATGCACATAAAAAGTCGTTAAAAGTCTTCTTCGAGTTAAAAAGAAGGGTAACGACATACCACTGCGTAGAACGGGACATCGTGGTACTTCGCTAGCAGACCTAGCATATAAGTACCAATTTTATTGGTTACGTCTCCATTGAGCGTAACTTGATCGGCTCCTGTAAACCTGACATTAATAGGTCCTTGTAGATAAATCATAGGAAATTTGAGCACCAGATGTGATGAACCCTTTTTCGTCCACAAATTTTAGGATATTAAACCACGAAAGTCATTTCTTCTTTCTGATAATCGTTCTAAGTACTGAAAACAAATAGTATTAAACAGAATAAGCAATTGTAAATACTTGAAATCTACGACTTTCAGAAATTACGGAAGGCCACGATTTATGACAAGAAGTCTCATAAATCAATTAAAATAATCAATAACGGTCAAGATAACAGATCGAAGAGAAGAAAACTAAGTGATGAGATCGAACGAAAACGAAAACCATTGTGTTACGTTCCTGACCAGGTCACGTCTGTTTCAAATCTCACTTCTAAACAGGAAGCATCGTCACTCAACAATGATTCTGTAACAACAGAAAAGCCTTCAAATCATCGTCGTCAATAGCAGAAGGACGTCCAAGACCTCACTCACCATGAACGCCTAATTCACCATAACGAAATTTTGCAAAAAAAATGTTGGACAACGCCATCACTAACACTTTCTTGTCCCCATACCTCGTGTGTGTCTCGAGCTGTTTAGACTGCATTACAACTGAGTTTGAAATAGTTGAAGTAGACACGTTGTTATAACCTTTAAAACGTATCAAAAACATAATTTACACTATGATTATGTTGTACCAAGCGAACATGCATGGAGTGAGCTTTGCAATGATATACCAACTGTACCACCTGTTGTCCCGTTGGTGGTTGATTGACTTCGACAGGGTGCCAGTAAATCCTCCATTTTCTCTGCCGCTTTTAGGACATAGCCCAGTGGGTTCTGCTCGCTCCATGGACTCGTTGAGCACCGTACCTTTCTTATAGGGTTTTCGTGAACAACTCTGACCATCGGGTCGGTGGTCTTCCTGCAGTAGGTTTGACATCCCGAAAAATCCAGTCACAAACGGTTTTTGTCCATCGGCAGTGGCTCATAAGAATTAAGTGTCTGGCCCTACTTATCACCGACAGTTTGGCGTATTGAACGGCATCTTATATTCTTGATCACTGACGCAGGTCGGAGTTTCAGATCTCTTCACTTGCTTGTCTGACACGGAATAGTCCTAGCATCGCCCTTTCGACTGCGCGTTCAATAACACTGAGTGATCTTTCATCCTGCTGACGCAGCGACATGGTTTCTGACGTATATGTTGAGGCAGGAAGTGCGATTGAGTCGAAAAAGGGTCACGGAGTTAGGCGTTCTTTGTTCTCCTCACGACATATAATCGTAGAAAATTAGAAAAGAAACTGTTGGTAAAACATAAACATAAAGAGTGAAATCACAAATTGGCCACTAATGTTGGAGAAACCTAGTAAAAGTGATGAGAACGAAAGAACCACAACCGTTGTGCCCTGCAACAGTCAACAGAGAGGGACCATTCCTTATTCACAATAAACGAGCCGCCACACATCGCATTGTGGACGTTGCGAAGGTTGAATGTGCTGGGCTACGAAACTCTGCCTCATCCACCATAATTGCCAAACCACTCGCCTAACGATTACCACTGTTTCAAGCGTCTCGAAAAATTCCTTAGCGAGAAATGCTTCAGAATTACGATGAGACCAAAACTACCTTCACTCGCAACATCGCCCAAAGAAGTACAGAAATTTATGCAATCGGAATATAAAATTGTTTTTCACTGCCAAAAATGTGCAAATTCTAGTGGTTTTTCCTTCGATTTAGGAAGTTCATTATGAGCTGAAACTTCTCACTTTGAAGATACAAGTTGGAATTGGACAAATATTTCAAGAGAACCTAGTACTACATGAGGTGACAACGTAAGATGTGAAGACTATAACAGGGTGATTGCTGATGGTAAAAGATCGATAGAACTAGCTGAGAGACAAGCGAAACGAAGGACACGCATGGTGTGGTGGTGAACGCGTTACTCCCCGGAAAGGACAATAGCGCGTTCGTTCCCCACCGCAGATACCTGCGGTCCGGAGTTTTGCAAACATCTCAGTATCACTGAAGTTACATTTAAGATCATTTGAAGAAAGAACTAGTGACTGTAAGGCAATTCCTTACAATAATAAGTCTTAACAAGCCAATTTTTGTATTCAATGAAAACTTACCAACGAGAATAGCATCGATTCGATGACTTTTCATTGCCCACGCTGCCATACTGTCCGTAATCACTTTGAAGGGTACTTTGGCATGCAGAAATTCGGTAGCAGTAAGTCGTACACCCTTCAACCTCATAATCTCAAAACTGACTTGTAGAAAAGATAACCCTCCTATCAATACCAATATAATTTGGTTGGATGTGCGGTTGTATAGAAATGCGACTCATCCCGGACGTTGGGAATTGATCTTCTCAGAGGATCACCCAAGTAGGAGATCTTCCAGTTCCAGTCCGGTAATGGCAAACCTCCTTACTTTTTATAGAACCAGCGAATGTGTACGATCACGACTTCGTATCACTCTCTCAGCGCTATATCGAAAAAAGTCTCGCCAATCCAGCACCATTACAATGCGTAGGCAGACGTGCACGGGCTCGCACTATCCTTCGTGAACACGGGCCATTCAAGGAAGTAAGTAGGTAAGTTGACAAAGAATAACATTGGGCAGAAGACATAAGAAAAACAGTAACTGCAAGTATAACACAATTCCTAACCACAATTGAAAACACCTCCCAACGGTTCACCGCCTCATCGTGGCTGGAAAGTGTTCCTGGATACCGGACTGCGATGTACAGCGGGAGATTCGTCCTCCCGGCAGGGTTTCCCAAACAGAAGGAGTCCGGCGTCTCCATCAGAAAGCTTAGCTAACAGTAAACCAATACCAGGATCTATCACTGCCTTGGTATCAAAGTCACATGGTGGCGAATCTCCCTCTAATCCACAAGGGCTGCGAGTGCCTATCGTGGTGACCACCTGGTACAGACTTTGGCCAGGCCGTCCTCGGAATTCTAGGGAACAACAATGGCTTAACTGGCAAATCTCTAAAAAATGGTGTTTATGCTGGGGTCCGCAAACTAGTGAGGACGGGCCGTTCAAGTATCAAGTAAGTAATTGAAAATAAATACATTTTTGGAGAGAATCTTGACTACGCAATAAAATTTATGGTTAACCACTTGTATTGTTTTTTCACAGTCTCTAAGAGAAATTTTAACGCTGAAATGACACGCAAAAAGTAACTGTGTCAGATAACTTTTTAAAAATACATAGTTACGCAAAAGGATGAGATAAAGGATGTAGCTTCCGGCGTTGACTAATCCTTGAAAGATGCTCCTTGCATTCGACTTCATCAGGCATCGTAGAGATGTGTGAATGAATATCCGGATTACACAATGGCTTGGGGCTGAGCAATAATATCAAGGCAGTGTTGCCATCCTCATCGAGGAATCTGGTACTGGTAACTTGCCGACACCGGAGGGATAGAAAACTTGGTGACCGTGGGGCGCGTGGATCGAGTTGTTAATTGACATATGTACGGTTACGCAATATGCACCGCAAAATTGTGACCACGGGGATATTCAACCAGGTAGTCTTGCCTATCATTGGGCTGAAATTTTATAATTGTTCGGTCTAAGAAAAAGGCCCATCAAACTAGCTTACCTGGTTGTAGGGTCTTGTCTCGAGAACGTAAACCATTTCAACAAGGTCTTCTTGGTGTAGGGCATAGATGACACCTAAATGCTTTCCTTTCCACCGAAAGTGAGAGATTAATTGCGAATCCACAACCGATTAATGGGCCTGTAAGTACGTGTCACCCACCAAGAGCTGTTCCCCAAGAAGAAGTTGCCAATGATCCAGTATTACAAATCGTCATTAGAATAAATTTCGAATCAGAGGTTGTAAGGTTTCGAATCTTAAATAGTCATTAGTTAGCTTCTTTGAAGATCATGGAAAAACATGGCTCAAGCAATAGATTACTGGGAATAGTTCATCAAGTAAGAGAAACTAAGAGAAATGACAATCTCGGAATACTGGCTTTTACAGATCGGCGGAAGTAAACCATGCCTCTTGATAGCCATTCCAAACGAGCCTGCGGTTCTCCTCAGCTTCATCGTGTAATAGCTTCAAGATCGCACGGAGAACTCTTAATCGTGTAACTACGCCAGCGCAAGTTCTTTCAAAGTCGTTACTTCCAACACTATTTCCGTAAAAGAATCTCTGTAAACTTCTATAAATCTCAATAAGGGGTGGCAATATTTTACTTATATCCATACTATCAACATTGGTAATCCGCTGATATAATAGTGAAAAACAGACAGAGACAAGAGACAAACCTCTTCTTCTTCGCATTCGCATCACCTTCACTATGACTCGCTGTTAGGATAATGTCCATAGCATTGCGAAGATTTATAGCGGTAGGACGAGAATCGATTAGGTATTGCACCTGAATTTCTAATTCGACTATTTGTCACTGGTAAATAAATCCAAGGAGGACGGCGAGCGCAGTGGTAGAGACGCAGCCCAAACCTTTGAGAAGTGGCCTGTTTCAACGCCATGTCGGGGAACCAAGTCCACCATCTTCCTGCGTTTGTAAACTTAAGACTAAACTTCCTTGGGAACCTTCTTCGAATCTACAAGGGATGGTGATTTCTTGTAGTGAAGACATGCAAACGTCTTAGCATGATTATAGCAGAGTTACAGATATAAGCTACTAGATTAGTATTCAGCGACATTAACAATGAAGACCAAACTCCACAGACAGCAATTAAGGCCACACGAAAACCCGAGGACTATAGTGGATGATGAACTCAAGGATACGAATGGAGAAGACATGCTGGGATTCGTAAAATATGTTATGTATAGTAATATGAAAAGAAATTAACAATTGAACGACATACTTTCTGTTCTACAAAGACGGTGAATTCTTGGACACTTGCGAAAGTGGATCCAACCAACTCCACTAACAGACCCAGGGCTCCAACAATAGCGATAAGCGGTGCTCCTCGTACCTGAACTCTTACATGCTATGGTTCATTTCTGCACCAAAATTTATCAGGACAGATCAGAAGTCACAATGCATGTTGTAAGGGACCACCTGCATTTTGCGTATCACTGAAAAAGCATCCCTGGTGTTCTTCACTGGAACGTACTCAAACTTATGAGGCAAAAGCAATTGATCTGAAAATCACACATCAACGTACCAACAAAAACTGTTAGAAACAACACTAGAAATTCATATAGCTCCGAAATCTCAACGAAGGGCACAGAACCATCCCTGTTTAACTAGGAACCACCACACACCACCTGGCATCTGTATGGTACAGCAAAGTCATTTTGTAATCCGTAACGTGTGACAAGTAGTATTTTTTCTATAATGAAATGATACTGCCTGACTACCTACCTAATACGAAGAGTTCAGTCTTTTCCTCGTCGAAGCGAAAGGGCTTCAAGCGATTTTCAGTGTTCGTCATGAAATCCTCAGGTATTGGTCCGTTGACGACAAATTCCATTCCTACAGATGTAAAAGCAAGTGTGGATAAAGAATTACAAGGCCCTTTTTCTAGGACTACTACGTGAAGAATTCGACACAGTGGCATTCATCATGAGATGTACGAAACAGCACAAGTGCTTGACTGAGTGAAACAGAGACCTGATAAGGACTGTACTTATCAGCGGGACCGTGAGCCTGAAGTTCACACTTCGGAAAATCCACAGCGCTCCCTGTATGAAGCATTGGAACAAGAAAAATAAGATTTTTTATACATATGCAGTCGCTGGAGCCGCGCGTGTAGCGCAATGGTCGGAGGAGCACTGCAACACACATACATGGAGTCGATTCCTGTTCCCTGGCCTACCGAGCTTTCCATCGCTCCAGGGTCGGCAAATTGGTATCAGACTTGTCTGGTAGGATAGCAACACTGGCTCGATATATCGGTGGGCTAGAGCATCATTGTAAAGGCCAGATATGTATTCAATCACCTCTAACGATGCTTAATGAAGTCGAATGCGTGGCGCACCCCTCACGGATTGGTTAACGCCGAGAGTTTTATCCTTTATCCTTTGCTTCCACAGCATACACAGCTGCTTCCGAGCAGACCTCGTGACTAGCGAAAAAATAACAGTGTATCGCTCCATATGTCTATCAGCACGGAGTCATCACAATGTCCACATTCGATTTGCAGAAGTCCTTTAATGCTTCGTCTTTGTTATAATACATCGTTCGATTATAGAAAGTCCACCTTTCATCAAACGTCACATTGCATTCAAGAGACACATTCATTTGTCGGATGTAAGAAGCTTGTGGAAACCTGTGAAACTTTGCAGCGTACGCGTACGAACAGTTTTCATATCAAACTAAACTTTGCTACGAAAAGCGCTCCCACAGCTTCATATATATGCTTGGATTCCTAAAGAAATCGCTGGATTTTTGGAAGACCTCGATATAATTAAAATCTATGACCTGGATTCCTCCCGACGGTTTACCGCGTCATCGTGGGTATCAGGCTGTGATGTACAGCGAGAGGACGCATCCACCTCAGCAGTCTCCTAAGCAAAGAAGAAGTCCTGCGCTTCCACTAGGAAGCCCAGCAAAGAGTGAACCATTACCAGGATACACTACCGTCCTGGTATTAAACTAGTCGCATGGTGGCAAATCTCCCTGATCCACAGCGGCGGCGACTGCCTATGGTGGTGATCGGGGGCAGACTTGGTCATGCTGTACTCAGGACTCCACGGAACCACAGTGACTAAACCAATAAATCCTAGAAGAATGGGAAATATGCTGCGGTCCGCACAACCAGCAAAGTCGGGCCATCCAACTATCCAAGTATGATCTGAATTCGAATTACAGAGCTACAATGCGAAAATGCAGTTGGGAATCTACTGAACGGTATGCTATACGACCATAAACGTCTTGGATCACTACTTACATGCAAAGCGTCCTGATCATAAAAGACCCAAAACCTAAGCAAACTTCGAGGTAAAAAACCTTCCAAGAGATTTCTGCAGTTAGATCGCTGATACCATTCTTAGTGGGAATAGATATTTCTAGTGAATCGAGTAATGTTGAGTCATTAGTATCTTACATAGTCCTCTCACCTTTATTTCAATACCTACTTAACAGCGTTGTATTAGACAATGGTGCAATTGCAAGACAACTTGTCAAAGTATGAAAAATCACTACACTAATATTACTCTGGTATCAATGAACAACTTTTCTTCCCTCAGAACTGGAGGGATAAAACTGCACAGAGGTAAACTAATAAAGTCCACGATTGCATAATGCACCAAATACATCAAAAATGAGCAGTGAGAACTTCAATTAAAAAAGTATCAAAGAATTTTACAAAATGGACCAATTTCCAACTAGACAACTAGATCCATGTCTCAGCAAACGCGTACTATACAAAACTATATCCGGGTTAAGGCTTTTTTGAATCGTTGTCCACCGCTTTACACAAAGGATCCGACACTTTTCGCAAGCCATGGCCATACGCACTAACCTGGAACTGTCTCTTATACTGTGACTACGGGAATAATTCCTAACCACACATTGTTCGAGTCGTGTGATAAAGCCAAAATAAAAGGACCTCGTCCTATTCATTTCACACTATGCCTCTGGTATAAACCCTTCTCTGAAAATTATATGCTATTGACTCTATTGATGAAGATTAAAGAGACGTATATTGGTGAGGTGCTCCACCATACAACTCTACAAACTAAACCGCCATTTCAGTTCCTACACATATGGTAAGCTCCGAATACTTAATAATTTGGAATAGAATTGAAAGTAATTCTGATATTAAAGTAGTGAAAGTGAACTGTTTAAAGTAGAAACAAATGAAGAAAGTGGTCATACCCTCTTCCACTAGTAACTCTCCTCACCTTTCTCATAATCGCATCATCGTCGTCGGTTTCATCTAGCTGTCTCATCAATGAATTACGATCTTCTTCGCTGATTGACTGAAAATTAAATACGTAATTTATGTTCCATAATTACCTTATAGTTTCGAGTAAACATCTTTGCTCTCATAAAAAAAACAGCAAATCAAAGCTCGTCGTGAGATTCCTTGGAATAAACTACTTATACTAACACGAATTTTAATAGAGTAAGAAGGAAAACCTTCAGAAAAGAACTGGACAATACCATTTGCTCCCACGAAAACAGGAAATGACTACGATAACATTACGAAGATTTACATCGTATAAACTTTTTAATCATGTTCTACTGTGCACATTAACATACTTTGCAACGTCATTACTGAGATTTGCATTTACTTACACGGATACTTGGACGACCCGCCTTCATTGGTTGTGCGAGCACCAGCATAATCTCCGCTGTTCGGAGATTTGCTGGTTAAGCAATTGTGGTTCTCTGAGGGCCATTTGTATCCGATACAGGCACTTTATGTTAAACTTCTTTGGAACCCCTCTCCTTCCTATGTAGTAACCTTTTTTCTTCTTAATCTCTGAAATCCCGAGGACAGCCTGGCCAGAGTCTACCTCAGGTCTTCACCACCACAGGCAGTCGCCGTTCTTGTGGATCGGAGAGAGATCTGCCACCATGCGACTAGTTTGGTACCAAGACGGTGGTGGATCCTAGTATTGGTTTACTCTTAGCTGGGCTTCCTGGTGGAAACGCCGGTCTCCTTCTCAGCTTGGGAGGTCCTACCGGGAGGTGGATCCCCCTACTGTACATCGCAGCCCAACACGCAGGAACACCTCCCAGTAACGATAAGGCGGTAAACCGTTAGAAGGGTAGAGATTTATAGCGTCATGGAAATACATCGCTAGCCTACATCGCCCAGAAGATTGGAAGAAATCTTCCCAAAAGGTGGATGCCAACCTCAGAAAGAATTTTAGACACGGTTAAATAACACGGAGTGAACAATATTAACATGAAAGAATGGGAGCCAATCAAAAATACGAAGGACAAATGAAACCTACGACAAAAGTTGCATCCAATATGGTGGCAAAACCCAAGAAAGTGTGGGAAATTTTACACAATGAATACAAAACGCAACGCTTTGCATCATCTCACCTGCATAATATCCAAAACGTCTGTCCTCAAATCCTCCTGGGAAAGGTTATTAATTGTCGTCGTCCTTGTAAGGCGATCATAATAAAGCTTCTGTTGCAGCTGGACCAACTTTGATGAGACCTAGAAAGGAAAACGACGAAAATCTCTCATAGCTTTACTCGCGGACAACTGGAAATATTAAGCTACTCAGGTGCATTTGTCCTATACGTGTTAATCTAAAAGATATTGGATTACCTTAGTTATCTGAAAAAAAACGAATGGATTTGCTTACGGCTCTCTAGATATCAATATCTACCTTATATCTCACTCTAAAGGCTAAAGTGTTTGGAGCCTCCTTCTGCAAAACTGCAATAAGAAATTTGAAACGTCAACGTGGACCCACTCGTTCCCTCTTCAGAGCACCATCCCACTCCAGGTCTACCAGTCCACCTTTCTTCGCAATCGCACGCTTCACACGTCTGGCAAATGCTATAGCATCTTCACCTTCCTAAAGTAAAAACTCACCAAGATGCTGTGCGAATTATTTAACAAGGTCGTCACTCTAATGAATCAGCCATGTTTTAACACATACAGCCCTAGATATGCTTCCAGACAACCTCGTAGACCGACCCCTACTTATTCCTAGTATGTGGTTTGAGTCACGTACTTCGTGAAAATCACCCTATTTTCAACAACTAAAGCCTACCGCTGCGCTCTATTTTTCAATCAACAATCTGTCTTCCGTACGCTTTTTTATATCGGTACTTCCATGTTGCTACATTCTATGTACTTCTAACGCTCCTCTACGAATCTTTACGCATTCGCGTAACATTTCAAATCGTAGTACAAGTAACTAAGTATTTTCCAAAGAACAGAAAGTCACCGTCCATCCATGGTGTAGCTCGCCTTTGGTAAGCCATTTAATAACACATGTGGAATGTGCATATGTATCCACCTTTACATACATGAACTGTGATTAGTCATTCGACTTCATTAAAGATAGCTATAGAAGACTGAGTGCTCATCTGGGCTATGCACTGGAGAGGTGGACGGCTTGGACAGCCTGGGGCGCGAGATAGAACTCATATGTATTGCGGGGAATCTTTAACCACTGAACAACACTGGCTCCAACGTAAGGGACAATCAATAACTCTACAAGATAGCGTTTCAAATAAACAGGTAAAGTCTTCAACCATTCACTAGGGTAAAGCTCAATCCTGTGCCCCAGGTTCACCAAGTCTTTCATCCTCTCGAGAAGGCAAATTAATTCCATACTTGCATAAAAGTATAGCAACACTTACTTAATACATCGGTAGACTACCACAAGTCATTGTGGCCAGATGTGCACTAAATCACGTATGCAAAACGTGATAAATGTCGAACGCATGGCACATTCCCCAAAGACTGATCAAATATGAATGCTCCGCCCTTTATGTAAGAAAGTGTGAAATACGAAAATTTTACGCTGTGAAGTAAACTTACTTTAGCATGATAGGATTTTAAAAAAGTTGCCAAATCAACTCGCCAGGAAGTTTTTCTTGAAATAAAAACATACTAAACAGCGATAACGATGCTGATATATTCGCAAAACTTAGACTCTAGACCAGATGGAACCACGATTTTCCTTTCCGTGGGCTCACACATTACACACTGCACTACGGAGACCTTGCTCTGCGTTCCTTTCAGCTAGTTTTCTATCTACCAGTGCCATCAGCACTCAACCGGCAACGGGATTGACCTAGGGAGTCCACATCGGCATCCAACCCAGTTAAGCTGAAGTTGCAGTCGAAATCAAAATGTTTACTTTTTATTTACTGCCCACTACTATTTTCAAGGCAGAGTATTATGTGAAATCAACCACAACTATGCTGCGTGAAGTAAAGCAAGGATCTCCGTGACGCGGTGTGTAATGCGTGAGCACTCAGGAAAGGGAAATCGTGGTTCAATATGGCCCAGGGTCCAAGTTTTGCGAATATCTTCAGCATCGTTGTGACTGATTTCGTAATAATACCCCGCCGTAAAGATTTTAGTAGGCAGTATATGAAAAAGTAAACATAAAAAACAGTCTAAGCCGACGCAGAACACGGCATCTATCTTAGAGAAGCTTTTAACTGGATAACAAAACAACGAAAACACTCTGCACTGTTGAAAACAGGGAATGAAGAAGAGCTGTATATGACTCTGACTACATAAGTGACTTTTACCTTGTTGTATGAGTTAAAAAGCTTAACGTAATCATAAGTCATTAAACTAACTTCTTTCGACATTGCAGGGAGATACCAGACATCACAGATTATAGCCCACGAAGTCATCATTCTCCATAAATATTCGCCATAAGACTGCTCACTGCTATTCCAAAAAGCGTCCGTTAATCGACTATCATATTTCATCGCTATCGGATAAATTGTGCTGCCAACCTATAGAAAAGAAATTATGGCGACTTTATTTGTCCTCAGCTAAAATACAAAACAAGTAGGCCCCAAACGTGCTACTGAAATCAAATATCATAAGGTATTTAAAGGAAAAAAAACCTAAGTCACACCTCAAATGATCCTTTCTTGAACATCATAACTGAAGTATTATTAATGCATGTACCTTCAGGGAATATTATAATAGGCAGCTTATTCTCGTCCTCCACGTGCTCTTTCAGCCTGAACTACTGTTATAACCTATCTCATAGCAAACGAAGCAATTGTCTTCAAATGCAGTGAAATCCATAGGATAAAACATCAGCACAGAGTAAAATATTGGGGGATAGAATAGGATATAAACATAATATAATAAAAAAGCTGCAGTAAGGTAATAGTATGGATCACGTGGTCGGAGGCTCCTTTCAATACACATGGGAATGATCTCGCCACCCTAGGCTTACCACGCCTTCCATCCCTCCGGGGTCGGCAGATTGGTACCAGACTTATCTGGGAGCATGGCAGCACTGGCTCGATACATCGGGAGGCCACCGCGAATCATTGCAAAGGCCAGATATGCATTCAATCACCTCCAAACGATGCTTAATGAAGTCTAATATATGACTCTTCCCTCAGGGATTGATCAACACCGAGAGCTTCATCCTTCTTATACTTTTAAAGAATAAAATAAATAAAAAAATAATAATAAGATAAGAAGAACAAGAAAGAAGTCTGGTAAAATCGAATATGATTAACAAATATCCGAAATGTACGAATACCTCTGAACAACCTTTCTTCTATCCGCAGCCTCACCTCGTTCAAACCATATATGGTGTTCCGCGCGACTTAGTGCATTTTGAATAAATCCTTAAAAATACTGTACGAAACTGATAAAGATTTCAAGCTAATTCACTCCAAACTCAATGAGTAGAACATAAAGAGAAAACATACAGTAATGTATTACGCACGCGAAAAAATGATCTCGAAATCACTTAAGAGACAAAAAAGAATAGTTGATGAACCTATGGACGTGAAAACACTGCAATACACGCATATAAATAACTCTCTCCACATATTTTAGAAAACTTGTTTTACTTTGAAGTAGTTTTTAAAACTCGCCAAGTAAACCGCCTTGCTTTTGACCGATCATAGCGTAACAATTGTCACAGCTCAAGATCATTACGTCAATAGGTGATGTATGATTCGCCACACAAATTCCTCCTTTCTTCGCCCGGTTTCCCCTTAAAGTGTTCGGTAAAAAATCGCTGCAGGAACAATTGCACTTCTGCTTATATAGAACACTTGATAATGGACGCGCTGGGCTAGTTTCTTAAGAAAGTACACCAGATTATGAAGAGAGTAACAAAAGGCTATGAATGGATAAGAACATACTTGGGTACATGGATACTTGCACGGCCTGTCTTAACCGGTTGTGCGGGCCCGGCACAATCTCCATTTTTCGGAGTTTTGCCGGTTTAGCCATTGCTGTTCCCTGGAACCCCGAGGTCAGCGTGACTAAAGGTCTGCCCTAGGTCGTTACCACCACAGGAAGCCGCAGCCCTTGTGGACCAGAGCAAGATTCGCTACCATGCGAATAGTTTGCTACAAGGACGGTAGCATAGGTTTACTCTTAGCTAGGCTTCCTGATGGAAACGCTGGACTCCTCCTCAGTCTAGGGGGCCTGCCATAGGAATGAATCGTGCATAGCAGCCCGACAGTCAGGAACACCTCTCGGCCACGAGATGGTAAACCGTTGGGAGTGGATAAGAACATACGTATATAAAACATTAAAAGATACGAAACCTACGATAAACACTAAAATCACGCCGAATAGAGAAAAAACAAACTCACTGATCATGAAAACGAATTATACTCGAAAATGAACGAGAAAATATACGCATTGAGAAGAGCATCACTTGGCGACTGATGAATTTTTTGACCCTGCACACAACCACAGAAAGAAATTGAAAACTTGAAAAAAAACGAAAAGCGCAGACGTCCCCACTTTTGGTTTGGAATAATTCCAGCAATGTAACAGGCACTACACATGATTGACAGTCCGATCAGGAATAAAACTATTCGAATGGGTACGAGAATCAAATATCGGAACAGGAACCCTGTGGCCCATAAAACCGTCAACTTCCAACTGAAAGTATAACAATCACTGATAAGAAGAGGAAAAGTATCTTAAAACAAAAGAACTGTGGACAACTGCTGAGGAGCTAAAGAACCCAGAGCTAACTAATTCAGTTTCCAAGAACGAGTAATGGTAAAACCATATTTGATTTAAACATCGTAGTAAATAGTCACCGGGAACAATATCGATGGCGGAAACTAGACTTACTTACTTGAATACTTGGATGGCCCGTCCTCATTGGTTGTGCGGGCCCCAGCATAATCTCCATTTTTCGGAGTTTTGCTCGTTTAGCCTTTGCTTTCCTTGGAGTCCCCAGGTCGATCTGGCCAAAGCTTTCCCCAGGTCCTCACCACAAAAGGCAGTCGCCACCCTTACGGATTATCAGAGGAAAATTTGCCATCATAGGACTAGTTTGATACCAGGACAGTGGTGGATCCTGCTATTGGTTTACTCTTAGCTGGATTCCTGGTGGAAACACCGGATTCCTTTTCAGCTTGGGATACCTTGCTGTGGGGACGAATCCTTGTTGCAGCCCAACACCCAGAAACACTTCCCAGCCACGATGAGGCGGTAAACCGTTAGGAGGTCCCCACACTAACGCGTAATAAAAACTTAAGTAAAACTGAAAATATGAGAACTTCCTAGAAACTTCGTCTCAAAGTGTCACGAATGCCTAGTTACGTAACATTCGAAATAAACAAGCTTAATACGAAGTTAAGGTATTGGTTTCACGAAACCAGGACACCAATCACGTCGTGAACTTCCCTACAGTACCAAACCTCAATCAAGAAGATGTTTTAACCCAAGTAAATGAGCAAAGATGGGAACGAACTTAATGTACTGGAACGAGTATCGCGTTCTTGTGAGAAGATTCCACGAAGAGAGTTGCTCGGCTCGAAAACGACTCGTCACTTGGTCCTCTATAATAGCCTCAATACCAGCCTAGAATTAGAACTAGTACTCGGCAAAGAATCAAAAAATTTCGCACCACCGTAGCACATCAGATCTGTAATGAGCCACAACATATTGCACAAAATGAAATAGAGGGGAAAAACTTATTTACATCATCCTACTGCCACTGATGAAACGAAAATCTTCCACAGAAAAACTTTACGACGACGCAGCAGAAGAATATGATTAACCAAAACTCTCCAATCCAAACAATTGACGCATTTCTAGGCAAAGCTTAAGTCCTGTCCCCCTCCGCATCTACCTAAGATATAATCCTAGATTTACATATTATTTTCTATTCATCTCAATTCGCTTCACCACAGTGAACATGCAGTTTTCTTACTTGATACTTGAACGGCCCGTCCTTACCGGTTGTGCGGCCCTCAGCATAATCTCCATTTTTCGGAGATTTGCTGGTTAAGCCATTACTGGTTCTCTGGAATCCCAAGGCCAGCTTGGCGAAAGTCTGCCTCAGGTCTTCACCATCACAGGCAGCCGCAAATTTGTGGATCAGAGAGAGGTCTGCCACCGTGCGACTTTGATAACAGGACAGTGGTGAATCATGGTATTGGTTTACTCTTAGCCAGGCTTCCTGATGGAAACGCCGGATTCCTTTCTAAGCTTGGGAGATCCTGCCAGAGAGATAAAAGTTCCCGCTGTACATCGCAGTCCGACACCCAAGAACACCTCCCAGCCACGATGAAGAGGTAAACCGTTGGGAAGAACAAGCAGCTTTCTAGTGAAATTAAAGTGCTGGCTCCTGTTCAGCAAAAAGAAAGCCGCTAGTGGAAACGCTGTAATGAATGGAAAATCTTTGAACATATTGGATACAATCAGCTCTAAAACAGAAGCAAAAATTCCATGTAGTAGGGAAATCCCTAACTCATATTTGCAATATTCTTCGAAAATTAGTTGGATTAAACACTACAAATGAGGTGCGTGTGAAGCAGCGGTCAGAAGACACTGGCTCGATACATCGGTAGGCCACCGCGAGTCATTGTAAAGGCCAGATGTGCTTTCAACCACCTCCAACGATGCTTAATGAAGTCGAATGCATGGCGCATCCCTCAGGTATTCATCAATGCCGAGGGCTTTATTCTTTTATTCCATCCTTTTAAATATCACAACTGATGCGACTACTCAAAAACAATGAAACGCCGGCAACCTTTCACCATGATCAAGAAACAATAATCCAACAAAAGTGGAAAGTGATACACTCAAATGCTGTTCACTATAACTCACATAGTTGGATCAGGAGCACAACGGACTACGCAAGACCACTACAAATTTTATACAGCGTGCTAGTCGAAGAAGATACCGGGAAATCGAAACCTGAGAAACGATAACGATGCTGGACTTTCCATTTTCAAAAAAAAAAAGAATCAAATCCTAGATGTTTCTAAGTAAGCCCTGCCACTGAAAATATTGACAAATTTATCACTGCTTGGAACAACGTGATCTGCTGGATAAAATCCGGCTTGCTGACTCCGCCGTACGAAATGCGGACCACGATGAGATGAAAAACGATTTACGGGCTCTAGAAAATTCGTGCGACTTTGATAAGCGGTAGAATGAGATCAACTGGATCTATAGAGTTGAGATTTAAGTGCTTAAGTTGAAAAGGTTGACCATTTTCGAGCGTGTGTGTCGCATATGTTTCATACTCCACAATTTTATAATCATGCAGAAAGACGATCCACATGTAATCTTGACTCCCTTATCAAATTTAAGCCGAATACTACATCCTTGCAAATCAAAAAACCGACTTTTGATCAACGTCAGTATTAAAAGACAAATTAATGTGTTCGCTACCTTGACATGTCTACATGAAACTCCGAAGATCTTCTTTTCCTTCCAGTAGCTGACGTTTTGGCGAATTCGCCTTCTTCTGACCCAGGCGGGAAACTTACTGCTATACAACCTCATTTTGAGAACTATTATACAACCTTTATGAAAAATCAAGCCACAATTTCCATTGTGGTGAGAAACATTAACCACTTTTCTGTTCTCTAGATCCTGGGAGATCTGATAAATGGTGTCAAGTCACGTGTGATAATAATGCGTTCGTAATTCGTCATTGATTCATTCTTAAAATTTTGAAATCTACCAAAACGTCCTATGAGTCACGAATAATGAAGTTCGCGACTCCTATGCTAGGCTATATCCAGTTACAAAGTCAACGAAACGTTACCCACTGAGAACCAAAAACTTTTCAGCAACCTCGAGTGAGCTCATCAACAACAGTTCGTAAAAGCAAAACAACTAGCTGTATGTGTGTTTTGCTGGTGCTTTTTTTATGCAGAAGGAATGTTGATGACGTTCAACCAAAGCTTACAGAGCTTTTGAAAAAAACTAAGAGCTTTTCAACCCTGAAACTCGAAAGAAAGTGTGAGGAATAAAAAGTTTTAAGTGAAGTAGACAAATGATGTTATATAGCTTGAACAAATGACCTTCTACAGAACAACGCGATATGTTTTCTGATTGGAATATAACACATATCAAGAAAGGTGGAGACTGGATTAACTGGCGAAGACGTTTTGCACGATGATTTCACAAAAACGAAACATCGAAACACCTCGAAAGATAGACATGGGGACTATTTCGTGGCCGGAAAACGCTTCAGTTCTAGGGGAATACAACAGCGTAAAAATGTCCGTAAGACTGTGGAACATAGCCAGAACCTGCGGTCAACACTGATCAAACGAAAGGAGAAGTCGATTTTTTTTCATGACAACGCCAAATCACATGTTGCATAATCAACACAACAAACCCTCACGAGAAACGAAGACACTAAAGAAGCACAAGAACTGGAAAGCGAAATTCTGCCCCATCGAGCAAACTCATGGATCTTTTGCGAACAGAAAGAATTACTACCGTGTCAACCACATCGACGACTACTTGCTGGGAACACTTTCAACAACTAATCTGCTTGGAAACCCCTACAGTAGATTCTTAGGTTCCAAAATCTTGAAATTCTATGATGATGGAGAAAGCGAATTTCTATAACGAAAGGTCGAAAGGTATGCATTGTAACGAATAACGAAAGGTCGAAAGGTATGCATTGTAACGATTTTTATTCCCAATTAAAAACTCTGCTGAAGAAATCAGCGCGTTTGAAGGCTGAAAACCGAAACTATTTCGCCGATAAATTACACCTTTTAAAAGTTCGTCGACGTCTTGCGATTTCCCAACAACGTACATTTTCATTCATCGACATTCAAATACTCACTTACAATTCATGAAGGTTGGACGCTTCTTCATACTTTAGAGAATTTAAATAACATAGCAAGCCTGAAAAGTTCATACTACACCAACCGCAATGAAATCGATGCTGTCGTCCACAACTACACTAACAGTTGTCTGTCGACATAGAGGCTCATCCTTAGAGTGAAGCTTAGAATCGATAACATCTGATTTCTCACGATGAATGATACCTCCAAAACAGAAATTTTAGCCACTCTTTATAATAAAACAGTACTGGAGTCATAAGATGCTTGAACTCCACAACTGCACCTCAATATGTCCCAAAAAACACAGTTTTTGACCGACATAACACAAACTCTAAAATGATAAAAAGAGAGGGAAAAGTCGGAAAACCGATGAACTTACTGCTTAACTACAGCAATATAAGAAACCCACCTAGATCACCAGATGAGTGCCGTTTCTTAATCCGTGGCGATGCAGACTGTCCTAAAGCGGAATAGTCATCCACGTTCTCGTTCTCGCAGTACTGATACTGGTTTGTTGTTCGAGATCCCCACTGAAATGAGAATGAGGTTATACTCGTAATAAATAGTTAAGACCTTGAGGAAATGCAGAATACATGTTTCAATCATTCCTTTAACTATTGAACTATAGTACTCCTTTGACGAAAATGCTCTGCTGGATTTCTTCGTCTGACGACGAAAAGTATATAGTCGAATTTTTTGCTGCCCGTAGTACGAATTGAGCTCAACGCTTGCGATCCACTCTACCCAGCTCGCCTCAAATGATTACGCCACTGTTTCGTATTTTCCGCTGATAATTTGGTGATTGGCGAAATTTTTCGTTCACCTATGTGGATTCTATGTTCTAGATATTCGCTACGTTTTTCTTTGCAACGTTCCACACTTTTAGGAACCACTCAACACGAAATCACATTTATGTCAGCCTTTAGCGAGTTTTGTAAGCTATATGAAGCATGTTTTGGCCTTTTTGGACGCCTCTTTATATTCGTCGAGTACATGCAATACTTCGATTTAGCACATTGTTTGAAAATGATTGGGGTCGAAACACATTGCCGGGAGACGAATTCAGATTCGCTAATTTGTTGCTAATCAATCTGAAAACGCCAAGGTCAGTGAAGGGATAGTGCAATGGTTTGCCACGCCTTCGACTAGGAAGCAAAAGCGCTAGTTCGACCCCCTCTCTCCTCCAATTCACGAGGAAACACCTTAGCCCTCTATCTCCAAGACTGCAAGAACAATAGAGTCGAGCAGCATTCCATGACCTTTGCAAAGAAGAATGAGTCCTCTAGCAGCAGCCGAAACGAAATGTGAAATGTTCGAGGACCAATGTGAACGATGAATGCGAAAAAAACGAATCGAATGCTGGAAGAACTGGGATTCACACAGCGGATGTGATGACAGGTGATGTGAAATAAAAATGAAAAATAAAATTTGCAAACTGAACGCTGTTCATGTAGTTCTCCTTTGTCTTATCAGTTATATATCGATATGAGTGAACTTCAACTGCTCTTCAACATCTAAGCGTTTTAGCTTTTTTGTAATGCTTCTTGTTCACCATTTTAAAGGTTTTTCACTTTGAGAACCGATTCTTGTAGGATTGAAGCATGTTAGTCAACGACAAATTAAACATCATAGAAAATATAGAGGAAGCTGGATACAATGAGAACTCTGAGCTTACTGAGGAGGACAAGGAATCCCTAACGCGTCCTAACGAAGAGTCTGCAGAAAGTGGATGTAGGGCGAGGACGAACGTGTGACGACTATGAGGATAGCCGGCGGATATGGCGTCATAAAATGGGTGCTAAGACAGTGTGATGCCTTATAACCGCTGGACTATCGATATTATCCCATTCTGACCAAAGCAATTGCTACTATTTAGATAAAAGGGTGGGCAAGAAAGTGTGTATTGACGAGATCATCATGCCGTTTAGAGATTCATATCACATACAAGTCACAAACAGATTAGAACTATTCGAATTATGCACAAAAGTTATTAAACTTATTCTATCATTAGGTATGCCGGCAAAGATGATTCAGTACAATAAAGTGTGCCTTAGTCGGTGGTGACGAGGCCTTGGATGACTTGCTGAACCCAGAAAGACACCTGTTCATCAGTTGGTATATGGATGACTTTTTCGCTGAGAGATTTCCCAAGAGGAAAAATCTATCTCAACGGCAAATGCAGGAAGAACATGAAAACACCTCACAATGGACGCGTCGCATGAGTCTGAAGTTCACGGCACCGAAATTTGAACAGAAAAAGTAGGAAATTCAAATTAATTTGCTACCATCTGCACTCTGAGACACAAAGCTTTGCTAATTATTAGTCCATAGAAGAGAAATCACTTGGATCAAATGTCACAACCTTCAATATTCAACACAGTGAGAACGGTTCTAAATCACTTCAGTCTACCCACCTCTCACATTTTTTTTCAAAACACGGTTTTCCTTTGAATGACAATAGATGGTGGGGCATTTTGAAACCTTCTGGGGTCTTCAATGTTAAAGGGATATAGGACAAACCTCTCCACGTTGATCAATCCCTAAGGGATGCGCCATGCATTCGACTTCATTAAGCATCGTTGGGGGTGAATGAATCCATATCTGGCCTTCACAATGACTCGCGGTGGCCTATCGATGTATGAGCCAATGCTGCTATCCTCCCAAATAAGTCTGGTACCAATTTGCCGACCTTGGAGGGATGAAAGGCTTGGTGGGGCGGAGGGGTGGGAATCGGTCCCATGTATATTGCAGGGCGCCTCCGACCACTGCGCCACTCGCGCCCTTCTTCCATGTCAGATAGCATCATTTGTTTTGACATGAAAAATAGTAGAACTAACCGTTCAAAAAAAAAACCGTTTTTCGAAAGTCTTTTGCGATAATGATATGATAATAAGCAATTTTTGCCTTACTGAAAACTCCGATTTAAGCATATCCAGTCATGAAGCCAACAGTGTTTGGATCCATTCTATAATAATCTCAATCAAAGAACTAAGGCTTGTTGTACGAGGAGCTCAAAATCGGAAGCAGAAGAATGAACAACACTTTGTCCATATGTTGATCGAAATCGAATCGAAACCAAAGTTTCTCCTGCACGAGGATAAATGAATGCGCGAAGGAACGAAACGAGGATACAGGAATGAATGAACGAGGAACAAAAGGGCCACTAGCATAAAGAATTCATTAAAATCTCACTGTTGCCAGTATTACTGTACTACACTGTAACTGACCGATACGCATCGGCAACAAGAAATCCACAACGTGACATCGTTACTCATATTGTTATTGATTTCTTCCACGCTTGTCAGCAAGCACTATGACGTCATACGGAAAAAAATCATACGTGTAGAACAAATTTCGGACAGAGACTGTGTCTACATTACAAATCTCCCACTTACTGTAAAAAAAAAATATAACAACCCTAGAGTAAACGTAATCAACTGCCAACCTCGAATATTCGCGTTAAGCACTCCACGAACAGTTCTCGTATTCCTAACGTACCACCAAATGAGGCCAGCACAATCACCAAGAGCAAAGCGAGAGTCACAGGAGGAAACACCAACAGAACTATCCACGCAGCCATCTGTAATCGAATTTCTCAATGGAACATTAGGAAGACATCAATGTTTCTCGGAACGAAAAAGCAACAGTGAAGTGTTAAATATGGAATCCAAAGGACCATATGCAGTGATTCTCACACATCGGCTTTCTACGATTATTGCGAAAACAAATGACACCACCTGGGAACGAGTTGAGGAAAAAAATCGATATTTCTAGTGAACCAGGTGATCGCTTTAAGCAAAAAGGGATCGAAGAACGAGAATGGCTGCAATACAATCAGAGGAAAGAAGAAACAGTAACTAGAATGAAATGGCAAGCGACATTGTTTACGGGAAGTCCGACACATGTCGGCCAAGAGGGCAACAGACACGAATGAGATACGCGTCGATCACAAACAGACCACTGGACATCCCGAAAATCGATTCCGACCTCAACACCGTTAGAACTCTTCCAAAGATTACAACAACTCCATAATCTCTTGCTTGTACAAGCGCTACTTTATCGATTCTCAACTATAATAGAGTTATTGCGAGGTTAAAGGTAAGTCGGTATTTCAAATACTGTTACGCTCCGCGCTAGCTGATAACGATACCGACTGCTTCAAGATGGATTGTTCGGTGGAAAACAAACGATCGTAAACAGACACTCAGTGACAACAATGAGTTTCCTGTATAAAACAGTGCTGTTGACTGAGGTCATTTCATTCTGATGGTGCTCCACCGGATTCGACTTGATACGACAATGAAGACACCACATCGAGAAGACGAGCGACGGTGCACCATCGACTCGGATCAATTTGGCTCTGAAGAAGACGAAGGCGCCAAAGCTATAGTCGAATAAACATAACAGAGCGTGTAGTAATTATTTGAAATCGTCGACTGTTTATCAACGGAAGGCAATGTATAGAGGATCATTGCTTAGCCCGCTGCTGCGACAATTCCTCATCACGGCACGGTCAGCGCACCATGGACCGAGTGCTTGTTGACAGTCACCGTGGCCACGACAGGCGTCGCGACTCCTTGATCTGCAACAATATGACGGAGTCGCGATACGCCGATCTGCGACAGTACGATGCAGTTGCGACACGCGTCGGCCGGACGCTTCATGTCATAGTGCAGCGCCGCCGATAGCAAGCTTACGAATGAGTGGACGAGGTTGCACTATGCAAGCGTTCACATATCAGCTAAATGTTACATTGTCAGCGAGTATAATAGAGATGGACCAGTTTACTTTAGTCATCGCGAAATTTGTGGTTTTTGATCTGGTAGGTTTAATGAAGCATTATTCACACTGAATGCGCAAAATTGGAACAACAAGCTAGCTGAAACATCGTTTGAGAGAACGAAAAAGGTGATTTTAATGACTTCCAACCACACACATGCTCTCGTCTGAAACGATTAGTTATGGAACAAGGTAGGAAAAATAAATAAATGGAAAGTCAGAAAGCAGAGGGAAGTAATTCAACTCAGCTAGGTACACAAGAACAGTGCTGTCGATACAAATTATTTCAGGATAGATAAGCCTGCTTAGGTGCGTAGATAACCATCATAGATGACTTGTCTTTATATGCCGCTCAGGTCTCAGTACTTCTTCCATTTGTTTCGTTATCTCGCAATGGTCATCCACGCAGGTGGTCGGATATTTGCGTATGTATTCGGCTCTGACTTAAGGATGTGTTATGTTCTCTTGTTATTGAGACGTTCAGTGCACGTCGTTATTTGTCCAGGATTCACAAGATAGCTATATTAGAGTGTTCCTAGCTTTTCACCACGTATGCCAGCCAGCTGACAGGAACCGCAGGTAAGTTTGTTGTCTTGCCAGTGAGATTCTTATAGTACAGGAGGGATTCCTTATACATAAATGCAATGGCAAGGCTTGGAGCCAGTCGTTCTCCCATTGCCAACCCTCTTATTTGAGCGTAGTACTTTCCGGACCATCTGAAGATTGAGCAGCTCAAGTATTCTTTTAAGAATGCCATCAAGTGCTCTATCTT